CGAGTTTTTGTTCCGCCTTGCCGAATCCGAGCAGGCGACAAATTCGTGACAAGTTTGGTGCCCCAAACTGTCCACACTCGGCTTGTCCTGGACTTGACAAAGTCATGAAGTCCAGGATGTCCAATGAGACAAAGTCTCGAGACAAACAATTGGCGCGCCTGCAAAGCTTGGGCCTGGACGCCGTTGGTCCCCTAACTCGAGTGTTGGAGGGAGCAGAGAGTGGGGATATCTCTGCTTGCGAGATATTGGAGGCTGTACAGTCAGCAGTCAAACTCCTCGGGAATTTTCGGCCCAATGTAATCGGGAACGCCGTCAAATTGCCCTCTCTAGTCTGAACCCCCGCATTGCGGATATGGCTGAGGACGACTCCATTTTTACCGAAGCCCGTCAACATTTGTTTGGCGACGGCTTTTATAAGAAGGCGAAGGAGCGTGATGACGAGATGCGGGTGCTGAACAGCGTTGCAGCCAGCAAGACCCATACCCAGTCAGCTCCTGCCAAGAAACCGAGCGGTTTCAAGAGCCACCAGCCGGTTTTTCACCGGGACTCCCGCAATTCCCGTGGAGGATTCAGGGGACGAGGACGGTACCAGCCTTACGCAGGCAATTCGAGCTTCAGCCACGGCAGCAGCAAGAAGTCCTCGGACTCTGCCAAGTGACATCCAGCTCCAACAAGTCCAAGTCCAGCACACGAGCATCAGCGGGACCAGAAGTGCCTCCTCATGAATCATTTGAAAGAAATAAAATTTCTTCCAAATATGTCTCAATCTCCGCTTATGGTGTGCCTGAAGGACTTGGGTTTTGTGGACATGGCTCAAAGCATAGCCTTACAGAGTCCTCCCCTGCAGGGAAGATACAACTTTTCATTCAAAATTGGAAAGTTCTCACATCCGACCGTTGGGTACAGGATTGTGTGCAAGGGTATGCAATAGATTGGATTGCTCAACCCCATCAAGTGAAACCGCCCCACGAAATAGTCTTTTCCGGGGAAGAGATGAACTGTCTTTCACTAGAAGTGCAAAAGATGGTAGAGAAACATGCTGTTACGGAAGTACAGATGAAGAAACAAGAGAAAGAATTCATTTCTCAGTTGTTTGCAGTCCCGAAGAAGGACGGGGGTGTGAGACCAATAATAAATCTGAAGAGTCTCAACACCTTTGTGAGGAAAGTTTCCTTCAAGATGGAAGGAATTCACACTCTCAAAGACCTGCTAAAGCAGGGCGACTGGATGACGAAAGTCGATCTAAAGGACGCTTACTTTGCGATCCCGATAACGCCGGAACACACATCCTACCTGAAATTTCAGTGGATGGGAAAGACGTACCGGTTCAACTGCCTACCTTTCGGTCTGTCGTCGGCTCCATGGGTCTTTACCAAGACCACGAAGCCAATAATGGTTTTTCTCAGGACACTCGGACTGAGAGTAATCATCTACATAGACGATATTCTGATTCTGGCAGAAAGCGAAGAGAAAGCTCGTCAACACACAATGTGCCTGATCTTTCTACTCGAAAACTTGGGTTTCACAGTAAACCAAACCAAATCCCAAGTGATTCCAACCCAGGAGACAGAATTCCTCGGGTTGACAGTGAACTCCGCAACGATGGAGCTGAAGTTACCCTCAGACAAGATCAAGAAGATCAAGTCCGAGGCGAAAAGTCTACTGCAAGCAGATGCCTTGACGGCGTTGGCAGTTTCCAGATTTCTGGGCAAACTGAACCATGCGGCCCAAGCAATCGCTGCGGCACCATTGTTTTACAGACACCTGCAGAGGTGTCTACAAGTGTCTCTCGAGGAGGGGAATCAAGAGTACTCCCATCCTTGCCATCTGTCACCAGATGCCAGAGAGGAACTGACATGGTGGACGGATCAGCTGTCTCACAAGAACGGGAAACAACTCCTGTTGGCGAAGCCGGACATGGTGATAGAGACAGATGCATCCACAATAGGCTGGGGAGCATCTTTCAACAATGTTCGAACAGGCGGACCATGGTCCCCACAGGAACGACACATGCACATCAACTGCCTGGAATTACTGGCGGCATCCCTTGCGATCAAGAGCTATGCCAAGGATGCTACAGATGTTGTGATCCATCTAAAGATGGACAACACGACTGCCCTGACTTACATCAACAAACTGGGAGGAACCGTATCACCGGAACTCAACCGGTTGACGAAAGAGCTCTGGGTGTGGTGCTTTCAGAGGAATATCACTCTCAAAGCCTCTCATCTCGCGGGTTCGTTGAATGTGATTGCCGACGAGGAATCCCGAGTGATGAAAGACAGATCGGACTGGATGCTATGCCCGAAAATCTTTCAAAGGATAAACTCGAGATTCGGCCCACTGGATGTGGACCTCTTTGCCTCTCGACTGTTCCATCAACTCCCACAGTATGTGAGTTGGAGACCCGACCCAGTAGCAATAGCCACAGATGCCTTCACAATGAACTGGAAAGTTTCGAACGGCTATGCCAACCCACCTTGGAACTTGATAGGCAAAGTCCTGCAACAAGTCCAACAACAGAATGCAGAGATTGTGCTTGTGGCACCGGTATGGCCGGGCCAAGTGTGGTACCCAATGCTATTGGACATGCTGATCCAAGAGCCTTGCCTCATAACGAGCTCCAGAAGCCCGATCCAACCAACTCACCCAGTCAACGAACCGGAGATAAACCCACCCCTAGCCGTGTGGAATATCTCAGGTCAAGATACTCAGCAGAGAACCTTTCGGGAGAGGCTTCAAAACTTCTCCTCGCATCTTGGAGACAGAAGTCTGCAAAAACTTATGATTCCCTCTTTAAGAAATGGGCATGCTGGTGTGTCGAAAGGGACATTGATCCCATTTCGGGAGATATAGCCGGCGTGGTTAACTTCTTGGCTTCTCTTTATCAGAATAAGTACAAGTATAGGTCCTTGTGTAATTATCGATCTGCAATATCATCTATCCACGACAAAGTTGATGGATACGAAGTGGGATCACACCCAATGGTAAGCAGACTACTGAAGGGCGTCTTCCATGAAAGACCACCCCAACCTAGGTACTCCTCAACGTGGGACGTATCAAAGGTCACAACATACCTGGTCTCACTAGGTCAGAACGAGCAAATGTCCCTCCAGGATATAACGTTCAAAATCACGATGCTGTTGGCCCTCACTAGGCCATCGAGATCGGTGGATCTTGTGAACCTTGATATAAGGTTCAGGCAGTTTAGCCCGGAGGGCGTAACATTTCACCCGACAAAACTAGCAAAGCAGTCCAGGCAGAACAAGAAGATTACAGAGTTCTTCTTCCCAGCATTTAAGGACAATGCACTATTGTGTCCTGTGCAAACATTGAAGGATTACGAAAGTAGGACCTTGGCGAATCGAGCTGATGATGAAAAGCAAGCTCAACTCCTGATTGCTACAATACAACCCTACAAAGCGGTGTCATCATCGACCGTAGCCAGATGGATTAAAACAGTTCTGGCGTAGGCCGGAATCGATACGGATATCTTCAAAGCGCACTCGGTGCGAAGTGCTGCAACTTCAGCTGCAGCAGACGCTGGGGTCACAACGACCGATATCCTCTCTGCAGCAGATTGGAGCAGTGAGAGTATCTTCCAAAAGTTCTACTACAAGCCTCAGAAGAACAACACCTTCGGGAAGGCTGTCCTGTCTACCAAGCTGTCGACCACTGACAAGCTACAAAATCACGTTGATATGGAGACAGAGCATTCTGAAATATAATTACAGAATGGCTCAGACCACGCAGTGGTCGCCAGCTATTCTGGATTATATGAAGAATGTGATGTCGAACATATCAACGTCCCTTCCCTCCCACCCGTCTACGTTGATATTGGGATAATGCACTTGTTAGAGGCTCGCTATCAAAGGCCGAAGAGCAAGTGTGGAACGGACAGTTTCGACAACAAAAAAATGTGCGCTTTCCAAGATGCCAAAGGGCATGCGCACAAAATAAAACACAAAATTCACATAAAACATGTAAAATACACTACAAACTAGCTGTCAAGTTAGAGAATTAGGCCAAACACGTTGATATGTTCGACATCACATTCTTCATATAATCCAGAATAGCTGGCGACCACTGCGTGGTCTGAGCCATTCTGTAATCCGCGGGCAAAAAGGCCATGGACACTTTTGATTCCCGCGGGCAAATTTTGGTCACCCGCAGGAATATCTCCATGGTGACTTTCCTGTAAACGTGGATTTGCCTGTCGTGTGAATCGTCTATTATAGACGATTCACACGACATAAGGCTGTGTTTACATGAGACGTTTCAACCCGGGTCAGATTTCAACCCGCCTCATACACAAAATGAATGGCGAGTTTACATGACGCATTGCGCTTGACCCGGGTTGAAATGTCGCCCCGGGTCTCCCCCAGGGGAGGGTTGAAATCAATCCGGGTCGAAGAAATCATACTTACGTACTTCTGTGCGTATCTCGTGCCAGGTTTGAACAGCACTGCAGATGCAAATTTAATTTCACGCGAAAGGATTCACGTGACCATACAGAACTCTAGAAGTGGACTTTTGGCGGCATATCAGTATTTGACCCAGGTCAACTGTCTTCATGTAAACGCTCACCTATTTTGTCTATCGTACAGACTTTCAACCCGGGCTGAACTCGACCCGGGTTGAAGTTTCTCATGTAAACACAGCCTCAGGGACCTATGGGGGGGGGGGGGTGAAATCAAGAAATCGTACTACCATACTTCTGTGTGTGTCTCGCGCTTGGTTTGAACAGCACAGCTGCCCTGCACAGGCAAATTTCCCGGGTCGAACTCGACCGTGCTTCCCCAGTTATGTGTTCAGCACTGGTTTCTGCATTATTTTTCTTTACGTGATTTACGCATTGCCACGTTTCCATTATTTCTTTTCTTTTCCTGCCGTGGATGGCTATCACCCCTCTGGAGCTCTCTCGCACTTTGTGTGCCAAAAAATGGTTATGGACAACAAGTTTTGTTACTGAAATAGAACATCCGAAGTATAATACTTACTTCCACACAGGACCGAATACCCTTCTTCTCCTGTAACGGTGGTAAGAAATATTACATACGATGGTCCGGATATAGGTTTATAATAAGCTTTGACTTGCCCTCCGGCGAGGATATACAGGTGGTCTAGACCAACCCCAGGCACCAGGAGATCATCGAGGCTTGCTCGGAGTGTTGCGTCGTACTGGAAAGCGGCGGCTAGCTCCTGCGGGGTCAGAAGGGTGTGGTTGATGTATGCGCAGGCGTCGCCTGCAAATTCGTAGGAGACTTTCACGCCCCTTGGCAACGTAGCGAGTGAGTAGGGGCCAGATTGTGCTCGTCCTACTTTCACCTTCCAAAGTCCTAGACAGAAAGTAAGATAAGTGTATACAAATCTGTTGTATGGTCCGATCAAGACATGTTGTATGTGCATGGCGGTCACCGCATGCAAATAAGAGCTCATAAATTGAGCAGAAACACACAAAACCTGCAGTGCGAAACAAAAGGGAAGCTGTCAGGGGGACATTTCTGAATGACATCATTTGAGCGATGTAGTACATTCACACAGGATCCCCGCCAGTACGAAATCTACTAGTATACCTCACTCAGCTTGGTTGGGGCTAACTGCGCTACATCCTGCCGCTTACTACACCATAGCCGAATCTACGATAACTTATAAAAATAATAATAATCCCTGATCATTGATATTGCTGTGCCTGGTGATCCACGCGTTGCTGAAAAGGAAGTTGAGAAACGTGTCAAGTATCAACTTATTGCTCGCAAAATCCATCGGCTATGGCAAGTTGAGACTCAGATTGTTCCTGTGCTAGTTGGGACTTTGGGCACTGTTTACAAACAGTTGCCAGGATATCTTGAGTCCTTGACACCATCGGTATCACCAGCTACTGCTCTGCGTCTGAATTGCAAAAGAATGCTCTCCTTGACTGGGCGGCTACCCTGTGTACGGTCCTTGATTTGTAATGCTCTGGGGTGGGTGTTCTTTCGTCCTATTTTCTTCCAAACCCGGTGGGTGCCAATCTCCGGTCTTCGGCCGAGTGCTGATGGATAATAACAAGAGTAGATAAACAAGAGTGTGCAACTCGCGGATGGGTAGGCCCACGGCGGAATGTTTTGCTGACGTAATCTTTTCGACGGCGCACGAGCTGCGAGTCTTTCGGAAAGTTTTCCCTCGTGCTCTTGGCCGGCTTTACACTACAAGGTCGGTGCCCAGCACGTGCTCTCACACTGCTCTGCGGCGAAATGCGCGTTCTTCTGAAAAAAGGTGACGTCAACAAAAAATTCCGCCATGGGCGGGGGTATCTGCAGATTGTGCAGGAAAGATCCGGAGTTGCACACTCTTGTTTATCTACTCTTGATAATAAACAGTTCGCGTACAGGGCAGCAATGTGGTCCTAACCTTTTCCGCTTCTGTCTCTTTTGAGCTCTGCTACATGTGACGGTTGATTGTCCACGTGAAAAAAAAAGAAAAAAGAAAAGTAAAAATAATACCCCGAGAGAAATGAAAGTGCACAACCTGATAGACGGATGTGTATGGAGATATACGACATATGTACAGTAAAACCTGGGGTAAGCGACCTCTGGGTGTAGCGACCACCTGCTCTTAACGACCGCTTATCCATGCACGGACAGTTCTACACGCACACTGTGGGACCTGGTTCGAAAGACCACCTGGCTTTAACGACCGCTTTTGCTTGCACCGTGGGGTGGTCGCTCGAAAAATCTAAAATTCAGTCGGGCACCAAAGGGTAAAACCAGGTTTCACTGGATATGCAGGTGCAAATAGCCTTGTTTCACACTGCCTGTACTGTGGGGTGCAAGGTGGGCGAAACTCGAGTCACGATCCAGAAACGGCCATTTCTGGGATCCCTGAACACCTTTCCCAGTTCCAAGAAGGGACAACAAGAGACCTATGCACTAAATGTTTGGGGAAACATTGAGCACAGCTGCAAAAAGGAAAACTCATGCTATAAGTCTGCTTTGCAGTAGAACAACAATGAAAGGAAGCAGAATAAGACGAGTCTCCTCTAAATCCCCATGAACGAAATAAAGGCGTAACGGCGATCCGCGCCCACCAAAGCCCGGCCAAGGAAGGGCGCAAGCTGCCCTAAGCTTCTGTGAAAATAGACTTTCTATACCACACTGTCTCTCTACCCCCCCCCCCCCTGAGTTACAGGACGATGACGAAACTACTAAGGCTATTGGTCAGACTGGTCTCACTAGAACTCGAAGACGCAGAGCAACAGATCACCTAACGTAGGAGGCTCAAGTTTATGCAGTAAACATAGTAAGGGGAAGGGGTTGTTGGTGTACAATTTTGTCCTTCTCCTTATTATCCATAATTACATGTACATTGCCTCACCTTCCTTGTGCAATTTTGCGAGGAGATCTGCAAAAAGCATTCAAAAAAAAGAAAACAAAAAGAAATGTACTCAGACGGAGAGCCAAGGTTTAATTTATACAAAAGAGAAACGACTGTTTATTAACTGGTGGTGTTAGTGGACAGTATAGCGTAACTTGTAGTTCCTTGGTCTTTCTCTTTTGTACAAAAAGAAAATGGTTGCAATTTTTTAGAACACGGAAGCTCCACTGCAGCCAATTCATGTCACGATCAGTCACCACCATCACACCAAGGTGAAGCCCCCAAGGGCGAAAATTTGGAGATTTCATTTCTTTTGAATAGAATTTGCAGCGCCAACGACCTTGGTGTGGTGTTGGTGGTGACTGATCGTGAAATGGTTGCAATCAGGTAAATTATAGCAGTGAAGTCTAATGATAGCTTGCATAGACCTCGGTCCTACCGGTAGGACCTACCGGTAGGACCATCATACACAGACATGCTGCATGGCCTCTGTTCTAACATTGACCTAAAACTTGTCCCTTAACTGTTGCTAAGGGGCTAATGAAGAAGTCCACAAATTTTAGACGTGATCGCACAAGGCATACTACGAAATTCCATGGTAACAACCCATGGTAACCATGGAAACGGAGTATGGAATTATGCATTCCACGGCCTTGGCAAGCTAATAAAAACATTAGGACCTCACCACAATTGATGTGCCATGGTCAAAATTCACTTTGGACAGAGTTGCTAGCGCACCAACATGATTATGTGCGGCCATTTTGACAATCGGTAAAATTGCGCATACGCAATGCACTGGACATAGCCTTGCATTTTGCGCCATTACTTTGCCTGACAAAGACCTCATCTCAACAATTGTTTAAAAAAATTCTCAACCAAAAGCACTTTTGCAGCTCGATTTCTTGGGTCCTACCGGTAGGACGGTATGCAAGCTATCACTAAACACCCTGATTCATAAACGATGTACATGTACATCATGTTGTGGGCAGGGTCGGGGCTAGCATTTCGCATGCCGTTCCGACACGATCGTGCAATTAGTGATTTGCAATTTCTTTATTTCAAGTGGGTCTTCGTATTAGCATGCACATGTACACGTACACTAGGGTATACCGGGTGTTAGCGGCCGTCGTGAGTTCCCTTCGGGAATGGACACGATAATGTTACTCTTTTTTCTGTACACTCATACCTCGTTTTTCCAGGCGGTCCAGGACCATGCACTTCGAAATGCCCGTAACTCCCGAATCCCATACATGTACGTTTTGATGGGAAAAGGCCATAGATACGGCATAATCATGATGTCACTGATTCCACAAAAAGTGACCAAAGAGTAAATGCAGTAGCATTTCCACTGCACCTCGCCAAAATGGTGCCCGGTAGACAGAAGTGCCCAGAACTACTTCGGGGTCCGGACAACCGACGTATGAGTGTAAACATGTACGGACGCATACTGTATGTCAGCGCCTTTAAAGCCATGGCCTTATATTCGAAACACTTCTGCTTTCCTAGCTATTTTAGATGCAAACTGACTCACCCGCAACGCCATGCTGTAAAAGTCAAAGTTCACACTAAAATTTCAATCTACGTCCACTTGTTCACCCTTTCTGATGGGCTGGAAGTTTGAAGCCATGGCTTCATAACTGAGACTGGCTTTATAATCGAATATACCGCCATGGCTATAAAGGTGCGGACATACGGTAATACATGTGTATGTACTAGTAGATGGGTGAGAGCGAGAAGAACGCGATAAACAGAGAGAACAGGGAGACCAGATACAGGTCACACAGGACAACACAGTTGAGTGATAGCGCTATTCACATCACCAGGTGTGAATAGGGTGAATGGATTCCGAACCGATTCCGGGGCTCATGACATGAAAATTGAACGACTTGAAAGCATGCGAATGGATTCATGAATCGATTCAAGTGCAGAATCGAACGCAGTCACTATCATGCAACAAGATACACAACTTTGCGTTCATCGTGAAGCCATAGACAGTTTTACTACTCTGCAGCAGAATTGATCCATCGTATGGTGTAGTTCACATTTAAACTCAGAAAGGTTGGTGTTGGAGGTCAGGGAGAGGGGCTCAAGCTTAACTAGTTTCGGTGGCGACGGGTGCTGGGAGCGCCGTGATTTTGTACTGGGATCGTAGCACTCCGCAATCATACATGGGTGAAGAACCGACTATGACCAGTGACCACCAGAGAGACTGAAAACTAGGGCTGGAACGAATATTCTAAATCGGAACGAATCGAACACCTTTCTGAGTCATAGTCGCCATTCTCAACATAATCATAACATAATACTAGGCTAAATTTCAGCAGCAATATTGCTTGCACGTGAAAAGGTTTAAATTTGACTGTAGTGGTATATCCCTGGACATTTAAACTACAAGTAATTGTTTTATTTTGAACAACCCAGCCCTGTGTTTATTGCTCCTTGTGTAGCATATACTGTGACACGTGTAGTTTTCCTCACTGTTCATTTCTATTGCATGATTTGCATCAGGAGATCCCCTCGACAGGCCGTCGCCTCTGGGAGACCCTTTAAATGAAATAAAAATAATAAAATAATTGAACAAACGGCGAGGAGACAACACTTTGATAACCGCAATCAGTAATACAAGCTGGATCGACATTTGTGTACAATTTATTCATGTAATGTAAAACTGTGGAGACAATGTGCAAGAAAACGATGAAAATGTGAAGAAATGGTGTAGAGGAAATGAGGATTCAAACAAGTTTTCGTACAACACTCATCAGGAATCTTCGTTGTACTAAAGGACAATGAAAACAAAATTGAACTATTATAGAAAATCTAAGTTAGAGAAATAACACTAAGAACAACAGCAGTGAAATTTACAAGTGTGAATTTTATCATGAAAGCTAGAGCAATAACGAATGCGTGTACTAACACTAAACTTGCAACTGAAAAATGAACAAAGAAGAGAAAGGGACAAAGTGATAACAAATAACAGCAGTACATTACACCTAGAAAATTAACGGCCAAGCTTGGCCGCACAAAACATGACACTTTACTTGAACAATTTCAACCCAATTATACTATCCTTCTGTACACACAAATTAGGCTTATACAGACGCTGACAGATGGCTTCCAAAACTTTTAACTGTAGTCCATAACCATGACGACCACGGCACAATACAGTGAAAGAAGAGTCGGAATACGAATTGCAACAATCAGGACTAGCCAACAGATGATTGTACACTGAAGACTTGCTACCACGAAACCTACGCACAACGCTAACATTCTCACCGGCACTCTCACGATCACTACAATCGTCGTTCTCCGACTCATTGCTCCCTTCACCGTCCGTCCCATTATCCGCTTCCTCTCCGCTCTCTCTCTGTTATCCCACCTGACTTGGTCCATTGAATGGGACTCGGCCGTCACCCTGCTGTCACGTCCCTCCTTGCGCCCTTGTTCGTTGAGTGCATAGCTTCTGTTGTAGTTGACTGTTGATCGTCTTGGTCTTTCAATAGTGGGCTTGGATGGTGGATTAGTTGTGGTGGCTGTATATTGCATTGTTGGTGATGGTGTGGGAGCTGCTGATACGCAAGGTGGGTCTTTTTGAGTTGGCAATTGTAGTGTTATTGCCATTGTCGATGTTGCTCGCGGTCTGTCACTGGCAAGCTCCACCGCCGCAAGAGCTGACGGCGGAGGATCAGGAGAAGGCAGTGGGACCGGGATCGCAAGCGGCACCACCCCAGCCAAAGCCGCCGGGGGCACTGACGAAGGAACCACTGACGGCAGGAGCAAAGGCGGCGACACAAGCCGGCCCGATGGGCCACCACGCACACCCTCCTCCACCACCGCCACCAGCGACGGCGGAGCAAGCACAGTCTGTGAACCAGGATCCACAAGTTGTGTAGATAACGGTTGTTTTCTGGGTCGCCCTCGCTTCGATCTTTGTTGTTGTGCGCAAGGTGGAAGTATGTGACGTGGTGTGTGTTGTTTGATGCATGCGTTTAGGTGCTGAACAGGTGCTGAACAGTCCTCAAGTAGTTTATTATTTTTATTATTTTATTTTACTATTAGGCCACACGTTTTTATTTCTATGTTTCTCGTCACCCGCGCGCATACGATTCAGGAGTCTGGAAGAAAAAAGAAAAAAACTGTGCTGCACTGACTGTGCATGTGGGGACCAGCACACTTGTGCACATGTACATAATGTGGCCTGGCCTGCGCGACACATGATGCAAGGACGGCATTTTTTGTGCGCAATCTAGCTGCACATGCAGAAGCTCCTACCATTATACTAGTTGCTAACTATGGATGATATTTTGCATGGTGTATCATTGAATTTTTGTGTGAACAAAGGTCTAAAAGCTCTTTTTTCGGTCATTTTTCATTTTTTCCACCTCTCGCATACGTTTTTAGATTTTCAGGTGACGAGAAACATAGAAATAAAAACGTGTGGCCTTATTATTTTTGTGGGGGAGAGGCAGGGGCAGCTTAACCGACCATACGGTCTCGGCTTCATTGCAACCCAAGCGCTCCACAAAAACAACAACAACAACAACAACAACATTTTGTCCTGTTCATTGTTCTGCTCTGAGAGTCACCACGAGTCGTATACTGGAGATCGGCAGGGGAAGGGAGCCTTGGTGCTTAATGTGAGCGCCTCCCTGTTACATTGTTTAGGTGTTGATGGGCACGTTGCAATTTGGTTACAATCGTAGCTTTACTGATAATCTATAAGAAGAAAAGAGGGCCAAGGAGCTACAATCACATGTTACGGTGCTTTTTTTTTTACTATGTTCACAAACCCAGCTCGAAATCATGGCCACTGTGTGTTACACCACCAGTTACTTAACAATCAGCTACAATCAATGCGATAACCAATTGCGCGACACTGACCAATGGTACTGGCGTTCTACACCTGGCGTATAGCGTAACCTGTAGCTCCGTGGTCCTTCTTATAAATTATCCTTGGCTCTCCACCCGAGTCTTACTGATAATCATACGACTTGGCCTCATCCACCACTAAGTGTATGATTCGCGATTGTAAAATGGAGAATTTTCAGTGTGTCGGTCTGTGTAGCCTAAGTCTTACCTGAACTCTTCTTCTTCTCACACGTTTCTCCAATGTACCCTGCTTGGCAGATGCAGCGCCCCTTGACGATGTACCCATGCTCGCAGATCTCTGTAGGGAGAGTAAAGGAGGTACATTCAGGTATTCCCAGACGGATGAATATTGCTTTATCGTACTACATCAAAGAATACAACATTCCAAGCTCTATCTTTGTAATACTGTAGCGGGCCACAGTCTCTTGGAGGCAAAAATACAAGGGTCTCAGTGAACACACTGTAAGTGGCAATTGAAATGTACTGGCAACGAAATTAACTATAACTGGCCATGAAATTAACTGGCAATGGAATTAACTGACTGGCAACTAAATTAACTAACTGGCTATAAAAGAATCGTGAGCAGCAGCTTTGATACAAAGGCAGACTCCGTACGCTAATGTACGGGGATACGCTAACGTATGGGAATACAGTACAGGGATATGCTATACTCTAAACACTAAACACTATACGCTTTGAAGTCACCAGCGTGCCAACGCTACAATACTAGTACAGTTGTTTGAAACTACTCGAAGTAGTCTAGTTCTTTGCTACGGTGCTTGCAATTGCAAATCGGTTTCAACACAAATTTCCCATTTCGCTCAAAGCTGGCTCCTTTTACATGTGTCCCCAAGTGAACCGTGTTCGCCCACTATGATGGTATGGTCCAGAAACCCTCCGCTCCTTGGATATTGGAGAAGATAAAAAATTGACTACATCAGCGTGCGCCATGCCAGCCTCGTAATGGCATATGAAAAGAAGAACACGAAAAAAAGATAGAAGACAAAGGAGAAGCTACGCATTGAGCCCACGCACCATGATCGAGAATAATGTTGGGCGTTTTCTTCGCCATCTCCAGAGAAAGTTTACAAACAATTCAAAATCAATCTAAAATCCAAGATAACCACTCAAACTGGTGTGGTAACGCATGGATCAAGGAAGTACATGAACGTTTACTGCAACACAGAGAGAGAGAGAGAGAGAGAGAGAGAGAGAGAGAGAGAGAGGGAGAGAGAGAGAGAGAGAGAGAGAGAGAGAGAGAGAGAGAGAGAGAGACAGAGAGAAGAGAGAGAGAAGAGAGAGAGAGAGAGAGACAGAGAGAGAGAGAAGAGACACAGAGAGAGAAGAGACACACAGAGAGAGAGAGAGAGAGAGAGAGAGAGAGAGAGAGAGAGAGAGAGAGAGAGAAGAGAGAGAGAGAAGAGAGAGAGAGAGAGAGAGAGACAGAGAGAGAGAGAAGAGAGAGAGAGAGAGAGAGAGAGAAAGAGAGAGAGCTAATTCCCAAATTGTAATATTGCACTATTCCCATCGTCAATCATAATGCTGGGCAAACCTATACTGTTTGAAAACCAAACAACAACAACAACAACAACAACAACAACAACAACAACAACAACAACAACAACAACAACAACAGCAACAACAACAACAGCAACAACAACAACGTAGTGACGTCATGGCGGCAGTGGACCTTCTGCAAATCAAGAAGTAGATTACGATTATCAATAGTTTTCCAGGAAGCAGTGAGATTTTGAAGTCGATAATCAAGTTGTCAAACTTACGAATGCATAATATTTGCTTCTCGGACTGAGGGTAGAGATTGAAAATCTGCATGATCAATTCACTAGTTTGCCCCCGGTAGTTCTGTGCCAAGATCTTCGCGCCGCCTTCAAGGAAATATGCACCAGATTTAACTTGAAGATGTGCAAACACATTCTGTCGAAGGTTAGTCAATTGTGATGCGGGGATGTCATTCTCAGACATGAGACGTTTGCCGTAAAAAGCGCAGGCTCGCCTTGCTGCATTGTACTTCACACGCAGTCCATTCTGAAGTGTTGATAGGTAATACTTTTGATAGGGCACCGTTGTCCAACTGCCTGCATTGTGAGAGAGGAACATAGAACAAGTCGATGCTACAATTGAATTGAAGCAAATTTGTGCCAAACTCCACTGGCACCCGAGCTGATTTTCCTCTCCGCTTCCCACCAAATGTATCTGGCATCAGTATTCAATTTAGGATATGGAGAGAAAAAGAGTGAAAAAAGACATGGCTATTGTAGTTGGTTGTGAATTAGTGTGCAGCACTTTGAGAATGGAGAGTGGATAAAACGAGTGTTCACTGGACATGACATGCAAGCACTGATTATTCAAAGGCTTACCTGAGCAGATTATAGTGGGAGGAATGTGGCCAGTGTAGGCTACGCCACTGCTTTCTTGTGAGTAATCCTGGCGCATCAACACATTCCCAGATCGCCGGGCCCAATAGACTGGTGACACTATTTCCCCCCTTATGCTAAACAACCTGTCCAGGAGGCTGGAAACGCAGGATTCCACGCCGAACCCCGGGTTCTTGTACTGGTCATAGTCCATCACATCAAACCCATATCTTTGGCACGTATCAACAGCTGATTCAGGACTGTTCGTATTGAACAGCCCGACGAAGGGGCTTGTACTAAATACTGCAAACCAGGTGGATTGAGTTCCATCGGAGTTGTTACAGTTTGTCACAAAATCTGCGTGCAGAGGGAGGAAACACGAAATTGGACAACAAGGATGTGCACCGGCCACTGAACCTGATTCAATACCAGCTATTCATTCTAACTGTACGAATGGTGTGTTTTTCAATAGCCGGTGGTAACTCTAACGTGAGAATTTTTCTTTACTTTTTTTTTACAAGCGTTTATACATGGAAACGCCACAACCTGAATTCCAGGCTGTGTATGTTTTCCTGCCTGATATTGCCTGTCTTGCTGTATAATTGTGCGCTTTGGACCTTATCGCAAACATTAACCGACGTCGTCAATGTATGGCACCGGAAGAAACTACGTACCATCATTGGTATCACGTACCCACAACGAATCTCGAACACAGCGCTGTATGCCAGAACCGAGCAGACCCCACTATCCCAAGTCTGCAGGCAACGGAGACTGCTGTGGTTCGGCCATGTAGTGAGGGAAGGCGAAGAATCGTCCTCTTCCCAAGCCCTCCTAATGTCGATCAACACAACAGACATACGACGACCCCGAGGACGGCCACGTCTGAGATGGATCGACGTTGTCAAGAAAGACTTACAATGCATTAATCTGTCGCTTCTGGATGCTGTGCAATCTGCTTCTGATAGAGCTGCTTGGCTCGAAATTGTTAACAGATGCGTTGACCTCATGCAATGAGTGAAATGCGAACTGTCATTATTATTATTATTATTATTATTATACGAGTCTAGGGGTAGGCAGGCCTATAGTTTGCATTAAATTTTGACGCCGATGTTTCGTTAATTCCTTACTTTTTAGATAAGGTCCATGGTGGTTTTGAAAGCCATTTTTTAATTGTCTATAGGGAAAGATGCAGGACTAGACTACAAACCCTTTTTAGGGGCCGTCCGTGGTTACCAATAGTTTTTGCAAAAACAAAAAGTTTTTGTATTTTTCAGCACCCACCCACCTATCTGTTCTGCAGGTAAAACGACTTCCAATAAAATATTGATGTAAATTTTCGACATCCAGAAGTAACTGGGCATTCTCTATCTGGATTCACTAATTATTTTCAAAATGAAACTCCTTCAAACCCACCCACCCCCAAACGAAAACTTTTCGTTTTGAAAATACTATTGGTAACCTTGGACTGCCCCTTAGAAAGCTGCCGTAAAGCAATTTTTGTTACTATAATGTACATGGATTTCACCAGGGAGGCACAGAGGGTTGGTCAAAGACCGTGATTGATATAGAGAATGTACCTGGTTCAAGTCCTGCCTGGGAGCGGGGTTTTTTTTCAGCCGTGCTGCTACCCACAGTCCACTAGGAGCTCGTGGCTAGGCACAGGTGGTGCATGGGTGCGGCAAAAATGGGGTTTCTCGGCTCGTGTGCCAGCGGTTGTGAGACATATCCTCTCCACCACCGGTAGGCCCTGCATCTGCCTCTAGGGTTTACCGGGTGTTAGCAGCCGTCGCGAGCTCCCTTCGTGAACGGACACGATACTTGACTTTCTACTGTAACATGGGTGGTAGCAAGAGGGCACTCTTGATACTACGCTAAAACCTGGCGTAAGCGACCTCCCGGGTTTAGCGACCGCCTGCTCTTAACGACCGTTCTTCCATGCACCGACAGTTCTACAGAGACACTGTCGGACCTGGTTCTAAAGACCGCTTTTGTTTGCACCGTGGAGTGGTCGCAGTAACAGGACAGTAACACCTGTTACTGTACTACAAGAATTATTAATTTTTTTGTTTTATTCAAAGCCCCGCATTAAGTGAATAATAGCAAGAAGGTACAAGAGAAGAGCTAGAGAGAACAGAGAGGAGTACAGGTGGAAAAGGAAAGGGAAAGATAAGAACATTGAAAGGATCGGTCAAGCAATACGGTTAATTCCCATCCGCGTGGATAGGATAATTATTCAATACTGTTGATACAGGAGTACTTGATGTATCATGCTAGCTACTCATGTATTGCGCATGTACTTCAAGTTGTTATCACCCGCATAACGCGTATTGTTACGTTATACGCCTTGCTTCACGTGATTACGTCATGTCTCTATTGGACGCATGCACGCATCCATATTCTGGATTCATGTGTTCTTCTCCTTGCTCTTCTTCCTCACTTGAGAATGTAAATAATTAGTTTCTATTATCTTGTCACCAAACTAGTTCCTGTTGTCTAGTAGTAGTGGTGTGCATGAGAACATAACATGGCGCAGTGAAGTTTCGTACCTGTGTTTTTCTAGTTGCCCGTGGTGCATCCCGGTTGTGTTCGCACGAGGCCTGCAGGTCCAATTACATTAATTTTTATTTATTTCTCTAGTCGTGACCGTCTTCCGAAATGTCAGATGCAGCTGCACCAAGTGTGCCGAGCGCAGATATCGCTGCTCTTGCTGATCTCTTCAAAAAGCAGATGGAGGCAGCCAATGAGCGAGAGAAGCGTCTCGATGCAATTATCACTGGTCTTACTCAACAGAGTCAGCCTCGCTCGTCGCCAGCACCGCCAGCTCCAAAGCCTGTCGCGGCGGAGCGACCCATGCTGCTGTCCTCCGCGTCCCTGTCAGAGTTTGCTGCCTGGCAGGAACTGTGGGAAGACTTCTCTCGGTGCCAGCACCTGACAGCACAGTCAAGGGAAACCAGGGTATCTGCCATCCGTCAGTGCCTTGACGAAGACCTCAGACGTTTTATCAGGGAGGGCACCATTGTCATCGCGACCAATCCTGATGCGTGTGACGTCTTGGAGGCGGTCAAGCAGTTTCTTCGCCGACAAAGAAACCCGATACTTGACCGAATTGAATTTTATAAGCGCACGCAACAGAAAGGGGAATTGTTTGACGGGTTCCACACTTCCCTGAAGGAGTTGTTTAACACGTGTGATTTTGTGGAACACGAGCTCTGTTCTGCCTGTTCGGCACGTGCCTGTTCTACGTGCAAAACTAATCTTGCACGGGTCCACGCGGACATGATGCGAGACCGCATTGTGATCGGTATCCTGGACGACACCACCCGTCACAAACTGTTGTCCACCTCCGACCTGACATTGGAGGCGACAGTCAAGGTGTGTCGTGCAGAAGAGGCAGCCACACAGACCAGCCACCACATCCCTACCGCCGGCCAAGTCAATGCTGCCAGGAAGTCGTCTTATCAGCGCGCGAAGTTAGCTTCACAGCCCCCAGTTGAGGCGAAGCACACTTCTGCTCGTGATAAGTGCCGTAACTGCGGACGCACAGCGCACACGAAATCGCCGTGTCCCGCGATCAACAAAGTGTGCCTTAACTGTAATGGAACGGGTCACTTCCGGGCAATGTGCCGCAGGCCTGCCAAGAAGCCGGACAAGTCGTCCAAGATCGCACACTTGCGACTCAACCGAGCATCTCTGTTGGACGACGCAACAGTTTCCGTTGCCACCCAGCTTGTGACCGAGCCAGAGCCCGTAGCTCTTAGTTGGCTCCCGGATACTGGTAGCGACGTTGATGCCATCGGCACTCAACACCTTGACCAGTTAGGCGGATTTGTCGAGAACCTGCTTGACGACATCGACGATGTTCGTACCGCAGATGGCGCCAGTCTCACCCCCGTTGGCAAGATTTCGGCGACTCTCAGTTGTGGACCAAACCAGCACACGTCCACCATTCATGTCTATGATGGTTTGACTGATGCCCTCCTATCCCGTTCATCCTTGCACGCCCTAGGATACTTGCCGTCCGGCTGGCCGAAGCAAATCGCAGCAGTCCAACAGGTAGTCCCATCGGCCGTTCCCGATGCACCTGCGGACAAGGTTGTGTCCAAAGCCACCGACTCAGAGACGATGAGAGCCGAACTCCTAGCTGAATTCGCTGACGTCTTTGATGACTCTGTGTTGAAGCCAATGCTTGGTGGACCTATGGAAATTAGAGTGCGAGCTGATGCTAAGCCTGTCGCTGCATATCATGCCCGCCAGATCCCGCATGCGTACCGTGACCAAGTGAAGTCCCAGCTGGATGACATGGTCCGGGATGCCATCATCGAGGAGGTCACCGAACCCAGTGCGTGGTGTCACCCAATTGTCATCGTGGACAAGAAGGGGACAAACGAGAAGAGGCTCACCGTTGATTTCAAAAAGCTCAACGACCAAGTCGAACGCCCTGCTCACCCCGCACCAAGCCCTCGTGACGCTGTATCCAGCGTTGGCAACGCAAGATATTTCACAAAGCTAGACGCCCGCCACGGCTATTGGCAAGTTCCTCTGAGCGAGGCCTCCCGTCCGTTGACCACATTCATGACACCTTGGGGTCGGTACAGGTACCTACGCAACCCACAAGGATTGGTCTCTGCCGGAGACGAGTTTAATCGCCGCACCGACGCCGCGTTCGCTCATATCTCCCAGTTCCAGAAGGTCGTTGATGACTGCCTCGTCTACGATAATGACCTGAACACCCACCGATCTCACGTCCGGGATGTCCTGCTCTGCGCCCGGGAGAATGGCATTACTCTGAGCGCCAAGAAGTTTGTGTTCGGCATGCCAGCCGTGGAGTTCTGTGGTTACCGCATCAGTGCTGACGGCTGGACCGTCGATGATGCCAAGGTCAAAGCTATCAGCCAGTTTCCAGCTCCCAGCAACCGCACTGATCTCCGATCGTTTATGGGTCTTATCAACCAGTGTGGTGAGTTCACCCCGCACCTGTCTGAGCACGCCGCCCCGTTGCGCCCATTGCTCAAGACGTCCAACGAGTTTGTATGGGACTCAGTTCACACAGACGCAGTCAACGCTGCCAAGGCTGAGCTGTTGTCACCATCAACGCTGTCATTCTTCCAACGTGACCAGCCACTCCGCCTAGAGACCGATGCATCTGCTTTGCATGGCCTTGGCTACGTTCTGTGGCAGTTGCAAGATGGCAAGTGGCGCATTCTCCAGTGTGGCAGTCGATTTCTGTCGGATCCAGAATCCCGGTATGCTGTCATCGAACTGGAGCTCCTAGCTGTCGTCTGGGCGGTGAAGAAATGTTCTCTCTACCTCGCCGGTACATTGTTTGAGCTTGTCACCGACCACCGGCCCCTCACACCAATCATCAACTCGTACTCGCTCGATCAGATTGAGAATCCCCGGCTCCAACGCCTGGTCATGAAGCTTCGTCCATACCAGCTGCATGCCACTTGGCGTAAGGGTACTGACAACGCTTTCGCCGACGCGCTGTCCCGCAATCCAGTGGATGATCCCACCCCTGACGATGAGCTCGGTGAACACCCAGCCCTTCGTACTCCTGCCATACGCGCTTGCATTCGGAAAGACACCGAAGGCCAGATTGCCAATCTCCGGTTTGCCGAATTGCAAGAAGCCGCTCGAGCTGACTCGGATTATCAGGCACTCCTCACCACCGTCCGGAACGGATTTCCCGACGACAAACGCGACTTATGTCCTGCTGCCCAGCCGTATTGGACCGTCCGTCATCATCTTACAGTCGACCAGGACCTGGTACTGAAAGGTCCTCGCATTGTGGTCCCGCGTTCCCTCAGGCGTAGTGTGCTTGACGACTTGCATGCTGCTCATCAAGGTCTCAACCGTACCAAGGCTCGTGCTCGCCAGGTGGTGTATTGGCCCCAGCTGTCCAACGACATTGACAATATCGTTCGCAGCTGCGCTGAATGCCGTCACCACGCACCTTCCCAAGTGAAGGAACCGCTGCTGGCAACTGAGGATCGTTGTCCTGCCCTCCCGTTTGAGAGCACCAGCGCGGATCTGTTCGAATGCCAAGGCTACCAGTTCCTGGTATACGTGGACCGCAAGACCGGCTGGCCCTGTGTTGCCAAGATAGGACGCACCGCCACCTCCGCTGACGTAGTCCGTGCGTTCCGAGGCTGGTTCGCGGATCTCGGTGTCCCAGCTGTCCTGACGACTGATGGTGGTCCGCAGTTTACAGCGCAGCGTTTCTCCGCCTTCTGTCAGCGTTGGCAAGTCCGCCACGTCAGATCCAGTCCGCATTACCCACAATCGAATGGCCATGCGGAGGCGGCTGTCAAGGCCATCAAATCTCTCGTGTACAAGACCACCACCAACGGAGACATTAATGTCGACGCCTTCCGTCGTGGCTTATTGGAATGGCGTAACACTCCCCGTAGCTCCGGTCAGAGCCCAGCGCAGGCCCTGTTTGGCCGCCCCCTGTCGTCATTCGTGCTTGCCCACCGGACCAGTTTTGCCCCAGCGTGGCAAGAAACCGCTGACGAAATCGACAGTCGTGCCTCTGCCCAGTCTGAAGCAGCCAGTCAGCACTACAACCAGTCTGCCCGTTCTCTGCCTGCCCTCCACCTTGGTTGCCCTGTGGATCTACAAGATCCCCGCAGCAAGTTGTGGAACGCCCGCGGTACCATTGTCGCCATTGGGAGCCACCGCGACTACATGGTCAAGCTTCCCAGTGGCCGAATATACTGGCGAAACCGTCGCTTTCTTCGCCCTGTTGTCTTGCCCGTAGCACCTGCACAGCCGATGCCTGCTACCCCCCCCCCCCTCCCCCATCACTCAGCCTGCCCCGCCAGTCCGGCGCAGTCAGCGAAGCCGCCAACCCCCGTCTAGGCTGAATATTTCGAACACTCGTGGCCAAACTTATGATTAGCTGCCTGTGCGTCTTTCTGCCTCTTGTTGAGCTCAGCTATTTTCGTATTCAGTTATCTCTATCTGCTTTGCCGTCCTTTCTAGTTGGTATTAGATGCCTTGTTGTCATCTCAGAAGGGGCGTGAGATACATGTATGTAAATGTAATTGTTATATTTCTATCTCAGAAGGGACGTGATGTATCATGCTAGCTACTCATGTATTGCGCATGTACTTCAAGTTGTTATCACCCGCATAACGCGTATTGTTACGTTATACGCCTTGCTTCACGTGATTACGTCATGTCTCTATTGGACGCATGCACGCATCCATATTCTGGATTCATGTGTTCTTCTCCTTGCTCTTCTTCCTCACTTGAGAATGTAAATAATTAGTTTCTATTATCTTGTCACCAAACTAGTTCCTGTTGTCTAGTAGTAGTGGTGTGCATGAGAACATAACAGTACTCACTTGGAAGGAGTAAATATGGTCTATCGGAATCTGCTGTCACATCCTGTGTGCAGATCACGGCTAGAGTTGCGAAAGCGAACGACGCTGTCCAGCAGCGTGAAGACATAGTAGCATATGCCATCTGTAGTCACCAGATCCAACAGAACGTGCACACAAGCTGGGACATGTAATTTCTCTGCCCAGCTTAGGGGCAGAGACTAAATATAATAATTATCTTGATGCACTAGTAACATCCTTCGCTCTTCTCTGTCGAGAGCGTGTTCATATTTGTCACGCACTTGTAATTGATATAATTATTTTGCGCACTGTCAGCCCTCACTTAAAGTCTAGACACGTACGCGCTCGTATGTCCTGGTGTTGGTCATCCATTTTCTTTCAGTCGCGAAATTTCATAATTGAAGAACGTGACAAGAAATTTTCTTGAAGAAAACCATTGCTATTTCGTTGTGTGACATGAGAGCTGGCTTTATTTTTGTTCATAGCCATCTTGCGGTTAGCCCTTTCCCAAAGGTGCTCGCCCTTTTTTCGCCCTTTTTGGCCCTTTTGGAAAAGCCCGTTTCTTTCGCCCTTTATTGCGTTTTTGGTGAATATCACCTTTTTTGAGCTTTTTTAGCTGAAAAAGTGCTAAAACCTGTTTGCTCATGCATGCGATCACAGTTTCCGAGTGCTCGATGGGCCTTGGCACGCCGATTTTGTGGTGGGCAACAAGTTGGTGAAGCTTGTAAAAGCCTGTAAAGGCTTGCACAATGCTGTAAAAAGGGCGTTTTTTGAACTTTACTTCCTGTTTTGCCTTTCGTGGACCCATGAATGGAAGAGTACGTATTCATTTCTCAGCTTGGGTTCATATCTGAACATGTATCATGGCTATGCTTCACTGAAAAAAGAGCACTTTTTGCCTGTTTTCACTGAAAAAAGAGCACTTTTTCAGCATATTTTGTGGGACGCGAAAAGCACTAAGTGCGAATTAAAAGAGCACCTTTGGGAAAGGGCTACTTGCGGCAATCTTCACATCGACTACTGTAAAAGCCATATGTGCATGTATGACTAAGTGCTAATTCTAACGAGTTAACGAGGAGAAAGCTGTCCGGTTACAATAGAAATCGTTATACAGAAATCGACACATATACTGTTGATATTGAGCGTTGAGAATGAGTGAGAATCGTTACCTTTGGCACACGTAAACCAGTCGATTTTAGGAAATCGGTATAATAATTATAATTATACGCCTCGTTAGAGTAATGGCTTTTACAGTATTGACTTTCTTCCTTTTATCTCTACTTTTCCACATCATCCTTTACGCTTATTACCCAGTGTTTGAAGCTCGGATGTTGAGCCAATAATAAATGTAGAAAGGAAAAGGACATAATGGATACGAGTTAAGAGTAACTGCCCACCACTGAAACTAGATACTAAATGAGCCCCTAGATCCAAGAAGGGGGCTTATGTCATTTTTGAGCATTTTGAGCTATCCACATGTATACCATTGCATTGCTGTATCCCAGGAGATCACTCTGTAAAAGAACCCAGGTACAAAATCTCCATCTTTCACAGAGTTTTGGGTGTTTCCATAAGTCATTTATACATTGGCTACTACGGATAATACGGAAAACTCACCAAAGACGGGGTAAGTGCAACTAAGCTAGATGTCAGGTCGTTGAATGTCTCAGTACTCTGTCAGTTTGGTGCCTAGTTGTTGCACATTCTGACTGTATATAGTATCTAGTTACAGAGGTGGACAGTTGCGAGTGCACAAACGAGACATGCACTCTTGTTATTAGACTTATGCCTGTTTTGATTATCACTATAACGGCAGTATACAGCAACGTAAAAACAACAACAACAACAACAACAACAACAACAACAACAACAACAACAACAACAACAACAACAACAACAACAACAACAACAACAACAACAACAACAACAACAACAACAACAACAACAACAACAACAACAACAACAACAACAACAACAACAACAACAACAACAACAACAACAACAACAACAACAACAACAACAACAACAACAACAACAACAACAACAACAACAACAACAACAACAATCGTGAGAATAAAGATTTGAAACAACAACAACAACAACAACAACAACAACAACAACAACAACAACAACAACAACAACAACAACAACAACAACAACAACAACAACAACAACAACAACAACAACAACAACAACAACACCACCAACAACAACAACAACAACAACAACAACAACAACAACAACAACAACAACAACAACAACAACAACAACAACAACAACAACAACAACAATCGTGAGAATAAAGATTTGAAACAACAACAACAACAACAACAACAACAACAACAACAACAACAACAACAACAACAACAACAACAACAACAACAACAACAACAACAACAACAACAACAACAACAACAACAACAACAACAACAACAACAACACCACCAACAACAACAACAACAACAACAACAACAACAACAACAACAACAACAACAACAACAACAACAACAACAACAACAACAACAACAACAACAACAACAACAACAACAACAACAACAGCTGAAATGCGACTACAGCATTACCCTGAACAGTATCACAAAATTAATGTCGTGCCAAAGCACGTCGTCATGGCAACATCACAGGACAGCGGAAACTTGGCCTTGCGCATGACACCTCTTTGGCAAATATGGTGTGAAATGAATTAGGGGTGAAACAAAGGTGCCACGTTTTCATTTGAAATGAACCTCCGTTTTCAATTCGAACGAAGGTCAACACACGATTCTTTTACAGTTCCCCTTCAGGCGCAGTCCAAGGCCTGCTATGCATTTGCATTGACACTTCAGCACCGAAAGCCAAGCGAAGCATGACCAGTTGATCGTACAGACCACAGTACTCAGTATAACGGTACATGCAAACAGTTAAAGGGGAAGTTAAGGCAAAAATTAAAATTTCACCAGTTGTAGTCTTCGGGGTGCTGAGTCAAATGGTCTTGGTCCGAGAAAGCTGAGACGCTCCTTCCTACTTGAATCCCAATCGAACTCGCGCACTTCCACCGAAACTGGGTGACTGCGCCCTACTAGATGGGGATTTGTATGCAAAATGTCACTAAAAGCGCCATTTCGTTCTTATAAAAGCACGGATGACCGCGATTGGCCCATATGTTGTAGTCTTTTGGACGCTGAGTCGACTGGTTTTGGTCCGAAAGGGCTGCAATGCAGCGTTCCTCCTTTATTCCCAATCGAACATGGTTGAACAAGCGGTCACGTGCTCCTGCGTACACCAGTCAGCTGGTCACCGTGCCTGCAGGGTACAACTTACTAGCCTGTTTGACCTTTTTTGGGTGCAGTCTTGTCACTCGAGTTGAACTCGAGTTGAACCTTGGTGTGAAAGTTGTCGCCTGCTGGCGTGGTGACCAGGTGATTTGGGCACCCAGGAGCACGTGACCACTTGTTCAACTATGTTCGATTGGGAATAAAGGAGGAACGCTGCATCGCAGCCCTTTCGGACCAAAACCAGTCGACTGAGCGTCTAAAAGACTACAACATATGGGCCAATCGCGGTCATCCGTGCTTTTATAAGAACGAAACGGCGCTTTTAGTGACATTTTGCATACAAATCCCCATCTAGTAGGGTGCAGTCACCCAGTTTCGGTGGAAGTGCGCGAGTTCGATTGGGATTCAAGAAGGAAGGGAGCGTCTCAGCTTTCTCGGACCAAGACCATTCGACTCAGCACCCCGAAGACTACAACTGGTGAAATTTTAATTTTTGCCTTAACTTCCCCTTTAACAGTGTACCGTTCGTGTTGTTGTTGTTGTTGTTGTTGTTGTTGTTGTTGTTGTTGTTGTTGTTGTTGTTGTGTTGCATAAGTATGGCATCCAATTGACCGTAACTTTCGTGTTTCTCAATGGATTTGAGTGAATTTTTCACCACACATTCCTGCCACTATGCTGGCCCGCTGGACATGATTTTAAAGTTCTTGCACCTCACTGACAGGCTTTCCAGGCCGGAAAAACTCAAAATTCCGCCATAGTGCCATGGTGTGCGAGCCACCCAGGAGCCAAAAAAATGCATTTACAATTTTTACACATTTTCTTGCCCATTCTGTCCGTGCACGGGATCCAAACCTAAAACAAGTCCAGAAGCAGCCCTGGGTGGTGGGATAGGCCCCTCAACGTGGCCCTGGAATCTGTCACACTGGCACGAGTGGGCTTTCTCTCACAGACTCCAACAGACCGAAGCCAATTTTTGGAATTTTTTAGGTTTAGGGTGTGCTACGAGGTCGTACCTTTAATACAACATCCAGTGCTGGGAAATCCACAGCAAGCCATTTCCACAGGCCTGCACACCAAATCCAGGATGCCCTCAAAAATCGGCAAAGACTACCACTCACGTTCCACTACTGCCTAGTACTGAATCCTACCTGACTTCTTGACACGACTCAAACTTGCCAAAGTCACTAAATCAACGTCAACTACAATAATCAAACCACATATCTGCAACGTCATGAGGGTGCTGGCAAAAGTCCTGCTGCACGGCGGCGGGCTTTGCCCGCCGCCGTGCAGTATTTGCCGGCCGCCGTGCAGCCCAATACGTGGCTAAAAAGTGATTTTTTGGACTTTTTGGACTTTTAGCAAAATTCTGCACACTTTCGCGTGTTTCCATGGTACGACAAGTTGCGCACGGTCTGCTCACATTTAAATACAGTGCTGCCAAAAAAAATCTTTCCTTGCAAGGGCACATTCTCGGCCATAACTCTTGAACGGATGGTCAGATCGAGACAAAACTTTTAGAGATTTTGCAGCTATTCATGCTCTTTCAACCGATGTAGCACTCGATATGAATTTTTAAGTCGCACCACAAACGGGCGGTTTCGCCGCCTTTGATACATGTGGACGACAGACGGAGAGAGAGAGAGAGAGAGAGAGGGGGGGGGGGGGGGAGGGCAGAAATACGGAGAGAGGAAGGGTAGAAAATAAATAAGTGAGTCGACTTCAGGGCTACACTAAAGCAAAAACGGAATGGGAATTCTCTATACAAAATGGCATCATGCAATGGTGCCAAACACGGTTCGCATGCATGCATGCAGTGATAATACTTCCACACCTTCGTTCATTTTGATGGAGACGTTCCGCTTGGCAAATACTTTAGGCCTTCGTTTCACCCGTTAAAAACAAATCAATTTGTGTATGAAGGTGGCATGTGTGATTACAAGTTACAATCCGGCATTTAGGCTTACCTTCGACTCTCTTCACGCACTGCTTCTCTTTCTCTCTTCCAACCTATTCCGTTCCCGGTAGGTGATGCTTTGAGAACCAAATGTGCCTGTGGCTAACCAGCCCAACGCAATGGAGAGTAATCAAGAGAAACGACAGGTCTACAGGAACAACAGTCGACAATTTAATCCGGACATGTGCTAAATGCACCAAGAGGTCATGTACTCTTGATTGCACGTTGTGCACCCAGGTTCGAGCGGATGCGAGGTACTACGACTACATGCCGCAGGTATGTAGACCCGTCCAAGCCCCAAACGGGGGCGGCCCAAAGCTGCTTGTGTCGCCTGCATGTCCGGTTCAGACGCATGCACAGAGCGAAACGTCGTATACCACCTCGAGTGCAAATGTGGTGATAAATATGTCGGAGAGACGTACCGCAGCCTCGCCACCAGGACAAATAAGAACACAACGACGACGCACGCAACACAGTGAGCGGCACCGCGCTGGGTGAGCATTTTGCAGCCAAGCATGCATCTGAACCATTGCCATTGGGAGCAACGGCCTTCACGGGTATCCGGGTTCTTGGTTCTGAGCGTGACCGCCCCAGGAGGAGGATTCGAGAGGCCATCAACATCAGGGAGCGATCCCCGGAAATCAACAGCAACAGTGGCTGGGACCTGCTATAACACCACCTGTGCGGCCTTATTGGCTTCTAGCATGCGTTCTGGGTGATACACTCGGCACATTTGTGTGGGCAATGCATGCCTTCACGTACCTTGGCTACCACCTTTTATGGAGTATGCTCTTCCACATTCTACCATGGTGGTCTACAATCATCTTTCTTGCTCAGCTACCTTTAGCATCATGCATGGGCTCTACACACCTCACTGGTGGTGTGAGACTGGAACTGTGTTTGTATCCCTGCTGTAGCGCAGTATCTACTTTCCTCGCCGTTTGTAGTATCCCTGCTGTAGCGCAGTATCTACTTTCCTCGCCGTTTGTGCTTGTGTTGTCATGTACATGTAGTAATGCACACTCGCCATGACGTGCTTTGCACTTCTCTGCGCGCGCTGTCACTATTAGCCATTGGCGGACTATGCTCGGCCAATCGTCAAATTATGCTTTTGATTATGCCACAATTATGCCAACAAATATGCTGAATTATGCTGAATTATGCTCGGTTCCACTATGTATTCACGCTGTACATAGAGGATTGAGAAACCACGCATACACACACGGCCATGCCCTAAGCATAATTTTTGTCTAAACCGAAAGATTATGCCGACCTTACACGTTGGAATCCATATTATTATGCCGGAGCATAATTTTTTGACGAAATCCCAAGATTATGCCAAATATTATACCGGCATAATCCGCCAAGGGCTATCAGACATCCTAGGAGTCGTAACTGGGGTATTTAAAAAAAACATCTGCAGGCTTTCTGACAAAGCTGTATTATTATTATTATTTGTAAGAAAAGAGTTTGCTCCCCACACCGGAGCTCGCGCTATTCCGCCGACTTTACTTGACACTTGACTGACTCACGACTGCCATCCAGAGCACACGAGAAGTCCATCGAACCTTCGACTCGGCAAACCTGCAAGAAAGCACCACTCCCTGCTCAATACACAGTGTTTCGGGGAATTATTATTATTATTATTATTATTATTATTATTATTATTGAAAGGGTTTGCTCCCCACACCGGAGCTCGCGCTATTCCGCCGACTTTACTTGACACTTGACTCTCGTGTGCTCTGGATGGCAGTCGTGAGTCAGTCAAGTGTCAAGTAAAGTCGGCGGAATAGCGCGAGCTCCGGTGTGGGGAGCAAACCCTTTCTTACATATCATCGCCGAAGTCGCAACCACTACTTCGTATTATTATTATTATTATTATTCTTTTCCCGTTTGTCTCTTTCCCTCAAACTAGTGAAGATTATTATTATTATTATTATTATTATTGGAAAGGCTTCCTGTCTGAAGCCTTTCCATACTGGTACTGTACTCGATGTTCCAGTTTTGTGACACGAGAATGGCACGATCTGCCATGTAGATCACCAGCACTGATCAGGTGCATTGTACACAATTGTGTAGCCTACGTCATACCGGCACTAGAGCTGTAGTACAATCATGTAGTTATTATGCTCCTACCTCGGAAACGATGCCAAATTATGCTCCAAATTTTCAACCACCAAATTATGCCAATAATTATCCCGGCATAATCCACCGGTGCCTAATGTAGGATACAATCATGCAACAGGCTACTGGCACTGTGTAAAGTGGAGGTTTATAGCAGGAAGTGGTGTACGAGTTTGCTGTCGCTGCGCTTCTGCTGTTTCTTCTCCTTGTTTGGTGGTTTTTACACAAGAACTCTCCAATTTTTAGTTGCGATATTAGCAACTTTTGAGCTTTTTCTGACAATATGGATGCGGTTTCAGCAACTAGCACTTGTTTTGACACGGTTGCGAAAAAGCATAAGTTGCGAAAAATTATGGCATCTTTGGGAAAGGGCTAACCTGCGCCTGATCAGTGCTGGTAGTGTGCATGGTAAGGGTTCGAACGGAGGTCATTCGGACTTAGTTTTCAGTGAAGAGCAGGGTAGAATTCATGGCAGTACATCGTTGGATGCACGAACTCGTCTTCTTCAAAGTTCTTTCTCACGCTACCTTCCTAGAGCATCATCACATACGGGGAGCTGGGTCAACTCCCTGTGCAGCATGCCCCAGTGCGTCCGTCCACTGTGCAGCGGGTCCACCAGCGAGCGGTGCTATCGGCTTCACTACTGCCAGGGCAAACGCACTGTGAAGCTCGACTTCTACTGCACTGGCCAATGACGGACGGCGTTGGCTACCTGTATATCTACCATGTACCAGTACAGTCGGTGTCAACCAGGGAGTAGGCTTTTGCGACTCCCTGGTAGGCACCGGCGGTTTATGCCGGCAGAAAAATTGGCAGAATTCGGTACTTTTTCTGGTAAGTTTCATGCATGTTTGGTATGTGGATAAAGGAATGGAGCAGAATTCGAGGAATTGCCCGCCATGAGGTGTGTACGGTTCTGCCAATTTCACTCCTTTTCGAGCAGAATCTGCCACCTTTTCGAGCCTACTCCCTGGTGTCAACACACTGCGGATGCGCTTTACCCACCAAAAGAGCCATGTCCGTCCATGTCACGTCAAGGGTAGTATATGTACTGGTATTATGTTCCTAAATCGGATTGGAAATCGTGAGCGAGTTGCTAGAGGACGAACCTGCGCTTGCCATGCATTACAAAACCGTGCCTGCCTAGTACTAGTCTTCGGTGCAGGATTTCGTTTGCTTTGCCGCGTTCTTGCATTACTTGTTTGCAGGCATCTGCTGGCAGTGCTGCTGCTGCAAATGAGGTATCCCACACTCTGGCAGTGACGGAAGCCCACATCTCGCGAGATTAGTTGCCATTTCTCGCTTCCTTCCTGCGTGTTTGTTGCTTATCGTGTTCTTGTTTGTATTCGATTTGTTTTGTCCACTTCCTTTAACTTATTTTGGAAACACTGCCCCATGCTGTGTGATCAGTCGTGTTGAAAAACAAAACAAAACAAAAACTACTAGTATTCCCACAGCTGCTGAGAGAATAGAGATTGCGAGCGTGAGAGTGAGAGTGAGACCGCAATTACAAAAAGGCACAATCGTGTGTGCAGCGCATTCCTCGGATTTCTGTGAAGAGAACCCCAAACAAAGCTGCGCCGCGGTTGTCGGTAGATCTCCCTGCATTTCCTCTTTTGATCCTACCAAGAATAATTATTAGTATTATTATGCCAGAGAGCAGTGCAGTCGTGTGGCTCTACAATGATGTAGAAGGGCAACTGCATAGATAATGCGAACCCACCGCATCTCCAGGTTGATCATCGAGCTACAATTACACTATCCACACCTCTTTCTCGACGAGAGTGCATCTGCTGTGCTTTATGGCACGGTCTCTACCACCATCTGTAACAGTGTTGCTATACCGACACTATGTTCGGCCTGCGTTAGAATATGCAATTCCGGTCTGGCACTGCCGGATAACTGCACGGCAACTTTCAGCACTGGATGTTCTGCAGGCTAAGGCATGCCGTGCCTTATTGCGGAAAAAAGCGGTTCAGTTTGATACACATGAAACAAAAGGAAACAAAGGAAAATCTTAATATTTAACCCCCAACCAGTGCACAACGTCCCAATGAACTGATATTGACAAACCATGGACAGCGCTGTTCAAATCTCTTTCACCATAAGTACAGCACACCCTGCAATTAAAAAAGCGGAATTCCGCTGAATATGTAGCGTAACCTCGTATTGAGTTTTCTTTAGAAGTTTATCTCTGGCACTCTTTCATCATTAATTTTACTATCCCAATTCTGCACGCTTACAATCATACTATTTCTTTATCTCTTTCTTTGATCACCTATAGCGATTGCTCATCACTTCTTTTACAGAGTTGGTATTATGAAAAGTTTGGAAACCCCCCTCGATTGGCGAAAGCCTTTAAAAACCAAAAAATACAAAAATTACAAAATTTAATTTGATGCAGGCTGAAGACACGCGGTATCAGCCTAGGGTACAGCGTTGCAGCCTTGTACTCGCTTGTCATTGTTTCGCGGAAACGTCCGGCGCTGGACCGACTGCATTCCTCATTCTTCTGGCAATAGCCAATCCAGGACTGGCAAGTGGCAGGAGTGTCCAAAGCTTGCACTGCATGCACTGACTTCACCCATGCCAATGAACGACAGCAGTATTGTCCACACACTATACTGTATAGAACAGGTCATGCAAGCGCTCGTGACCTCTGAACCGAACTGCTCGGGTGCATGGTGCACGTGCTGCGCGAGGACGCTTTTAGCACCTTCTTGAAGTAGTTCTTCTCATTCTAGCGAGTCACTCGCCAAGCGCCGTGACTGCTCTGAGTCTCGGTCGAGTAGCGTGTGACTCTGTGAGCGTTCGCCTGGTCTATGCAATATGCGCATGGCCTATGGACATGATATTTGCGGCGGGTGAGAGAACGTAATGTCCAATGCGTATCGTCTATGCTGCACAAGAATCGGTCAGGATCGATAGGAAGCACAGTGCAGTGTGTACAATCATGTACATGTACTAGACAGGGTAGGTGTCCATGTCCTACGCGTGTGGCGACGGTCCATTCTCGCCTCGCCCCACCTGGCAGGTCGGGTTCGAGTGTAGATTCCGTTCATGTCTGGTTGTGTGCGTGTGATAGCACCCTGCCAGCAATGTTACCGAGAGCTGTACAATACACTGCATGCACTCTGCAGCTGTATCTCTGATCCTGCACCTGAGGCGTCCAGGGACGGGTAGGAACAAGGTCTCAGGCCACTGGGGTTCACACCATGCACATGTACCAGGCCAGGGTGTATTTTACTACTCCTTGGTTCACACTGACCCGAGGGGAGAAGTCCCGTGCGCCCTGTCAGTGGCGGCGATCGAAATTCGGCCATCTGCACACAAAGAGTCACACAGTACCGGGCCATGGGGACAGTTGATGAAGGACACAACTAGCGGCCGTCCCGACGGCATCGTTCACTGCTTAGCGACGAGTTGTCCCTGACCATCGACGCGGATTAGCCTACTGATACAAGAGCAAGATAGGGATTAGGGCGACGATTCTATAGAGAGAAAACAGATTCCGTATGCTATTGATAGCTGACCGGTGTCCATGTGTGTGGCGAGTCGTACTGTTGGAGATACTCTTTTTTTAAACGTCTTTACTACTTTAGTGTTCGCTGTCACTCTCACCGCAGCAAGTCAGCCGATCTAACTAACTTCAAGATCCGCCCGTGAGTCAGCGTGCGAACTCTCCTCCATCGCAACGGGACCAAGCCAGCTTTGCTCACGCATCCGAACAGCGTCGCAACAGGCCATTCGCGATAGCGACTGATCGGAGCTGAACAAGTCGACCTGCCAGGGCGGCGCATGTTTTCGGAAGCGGAGGAGCAATTCAAAACCCGAAGAGAAGTGCTGTGTGACTGAACGGTACAACCTGGTAGGGACACTGCGATTTCGTTCAAGTAACGGGAACAGTCAGTATCTTACGACAACACTGCTACAGTGCTTGTACTACGACGCTTCTGAACTACCACCTAGAACAGGACGATCCAGCTATAACTACATTGTCCTAGTACTAGTAGTAGCAGCAATCCGCCTCCGACGATTTCAGCTCGTCAAGCTGCACGTGCGTCGCTCCTGGTGGCAATTTAGGCCATAACTTTATAAGAATGGCGTTGAAGCAATGAGCAACGTCGTTGGCGAGGTGTGTGAAGCGGGACGGACACCAAGTCTAGAGCGCGCGTCCAGTGGCAAACGTACTGACTTCGCAGCGTGTGGCAAGTGAGAGAGAGAGAGTGAGGACAGTGGCGAGCAGAAGTGATTTGCAGCGGCTCTTGAGACAACCTTGTGTTGCATCGCGGGTAGCAGGAAGCCTGGCGATTGCACTCTTCACTTCTCACTCTAACACATTCTCGCACTGGACCATCGACTGTTCGTGCATCGTCTTCGCTGACCAGTTCTCACAGCTGTTGTTGAGTGCGGGAAGTCCATAGGCTAATGGGCATAGGAAAGCGCACGGTCAAGAAGATTGGAGCTTGCTGCTTGATCTGAGTGGTGGACTTTGTGCATGTGATCACGCTCTCAAGACAGGTCCCGTACACACAGCCACTCAGTGCCACCCCGGTTCCGTGGGACTGTGCGGAAGTGAAGGCGAGAGCGCGGGAGACGCAAGTGACAGCGGGCATTGTGGCAGTGTGGAAAGAGCAGACGACACCACAAATCTTCGGAGGCTTTCTGCGCCCGTGAGATACAACTGCAGAAAAATCACAATGTCAACTCCTCGCCTTGATCCCGAGCTAGCGGGCTCAACATGGCGAGAACTGCCCACCGACTCACTAGATTTCTGCCATCGCCTAGCGGACGTTGCCGCCCTGCAGTACTCGAGACATTTGCAGCAGTTCGCAAGCGAAACTGGCAGCGGAACACGGCGCAGGGACAGTGTTGGTGGCAGTGGTGAGCGACGTTCGTCTTCTCCCTCGGAGTTTGCTGCGCTGTGCGAGGTCTTCTGTACTGCCCTGCACAGGAGTTTGGTGAACGAGGCTACGGACCGTGGGGAAGCGTTGGTCCTGGAGGAGCGGAGGCACACCATCAGCATGAGTCGGCCAGCTACAGCCTGCGGTGACGTTGCCAACTCCACTGTGGCACCCAAATCATCTACACTGCAGCTGGACAGTCGACGGATAAGTCGGAGCACGTCGCCTCCCGCCGAGCGACGGGCGAGCAGTGGCGGCGGAGACGGAAAGATACGACGGTCAATCTCCAAGCGCATGCCGTCGTTTCTGCGCAGCACAAAACGAAGCAACAGCACTAGTAGCAATGGCGAGGGCAGCAGCAGAAAGCAAAAACCGTTGAAGAAAGAAGGAGTGCTCCACCAGCTTGTTGATGTGGAGGGTGGCGAAATTCGCTGGGCCAAGTGCAGAGTTCTGGTCAAGAGGGAACGCAGCGGTCACGTCATTAGTTTCTATTCACCGCCGAAGGTAAGACTATTGGAGGGCCTGGGAGTATAAACTAAACTCGCACTCACGCTTCCTTGCAAGTACAGTGCTGGCAACTGAAATCCGACCCCCTGAGCGGTGCGCTCACGTCACAAAGACCCAACACGGGATGGTAAAACTACAAAACAGAGACCGCTAGAATGTGAACCCACAGCTCAGGGGGTCGGATTTCAGTTGCTGGCACTGTAGGAGCACTTGAAAAACGGAGAATTATTATGCGAGTTTCCTGAATCAATTACTTTTCACGACAACTCCTAACTTCCTCTTGAAATCAACGAAAGGTGTCACAAATTAGAAATACATTAAAGTTTGATGGGAAATGTTCGCCAATTTAGAAGCGCATGTTTAGTTTTGTTTCCAAAATATTTGAGACAAGTAGGATAAGGAGGCATACCATCTTTCTGTGAGCGAAACTATAATCAATGTTGTTCAGCATACAGAAGTGCTATTCAAGCCAAATCGAGATCATACGGTTTCACCTTTGCATTTCGCAGATTCAAACCTACAGCAATGTGCGGTCCACCTGCAAGACAGATAATATGAAGTGCACCTGCAAAACGATATTATACTTCTTTTGCCCATAGTCCTCAATGATAGGAATGTAGAATTGATATCTGGCGAAAAGCTCTCATTGTTTGATGTAAATTTTAGCCCCAGGTCTTCTGAGCCAGTGCCAGATTGTAGACATTTGTGAAAAGCATGCCTGTTTAGAAAATTGCCCTCCGCTGGCGAGGTCATCGTTACACCCTGTGGAAAAACATGAAATCCTGGACAGTAATGAAGGACAGGTGTCACTCGCACCAGTAACAGTGCTGCGGTGTCTCGCCCTGTGTAAAGTAACGAGATGGCACTCTCGCGGGGTTGCGACTGGCGCGCTCCAGGACAGCCCCTGGACGAGATGAAAGAGACCTGTGCCGCTGGGTTCGGTCCGGTCTTTGATGTTTGTACAAAGCCCTGAGCACGTTTTGGCCAGGATTTCCCGTGTTATGTACCAGAATGAGCCCAACTAACTTAAAATACTTGCAATACAATCATGTACATATTCATTGGTTTGAGGGAAAGATGCAAACGGCAAAAGTCTGGGAAAAAAGACTGTTACCACCAGGACTCGAACCAGGGACCTTTGCTTGAGGCCAGCGATGCTCTAACCGCTGAGCTGTTGTGTAGCTGTTATTCCAGCAGAGACCGTTCAACATTCTCTCCAGAATACATGTAAAGTCACTAATAGGATACTGTTACCAGGTTCAGTAGAGCTCCAAGCGAGCTCAGTACCGTAAAAGCAGTGTCGTAACGCACCAGTCAAAACAACCCTGAGCTGGCCCCATCAGGCCACAACTTCAAGTGTTGGGCAAAAATAATAATGAGACCAACTGTTGTTTTAACAAGCGAAATTCAGTCCACCTTGCGAGTAACGGCCCTCTACTACCTGAATAAGTAGCTGTATGGATGAAGTGTTAGTTAGTGAGACAGACTTTAAAGATGACCCTGGGATCACAGCATCCGGTGCAGTATTCCCTCCTGTGTGGGTCTCCTGAAAAGTTCTTAGAGATCTGGCATTTCAGGTAGTTACGTTCGCACTTCCGATTCTAACACGACTGCATTCTTCCTGCCGTGAGCGTGGGTGTCCTCCGTCATTGGTGCTTCTTATCAATGTTGTATTTACATTGTACCTGTATCTGTGGTGACTGCACAGGCCGTAGCTTAAATCTAGGGACTCTCCCTGTGCATGTTTGCCATGTTTGCCTCACTGTGCATTCCCTGGAAGTGTCTCCCTGTGACCAGTGGACCAAGACTAGAATGCATTGTAAAGGACGAGCAATCACCTCACGGGAGACAGACTTCTGTTGTGGGTTCATATTCTGTATACATGTATACGCAGTACATGCACCTACACATCCTATTCTTGGATTACTACTCATAGATGTCAGCTGTTTCAGGGATCAATTTGTCAATTGGTCCCAAATCACTAGCCCCCAACGTGAACTAGCCTACTAGCCAGGAGAGCAGGACAGTACAGGAAAGCGTGGTGTTTGCACTCACTTCAGACAGCACCGCTTATTCTACCCAGGCAGCACGTGGTGTTCACTAACAATAGTCCTGCACTTCTTGACCGCTGGTATTGAACTGGAGTGAGCAAGGGGGAGGGGGGCTAAATTGGATTGGTCAGCCAGCCTCTATGCACACACCAGGCTGACGTGGAGTATTGTGGAGGGTAGGGGCTGGATTCATCCTCCTGGCTGCTTCGAGTGGTTGGTCGGTGGAACCCTGTAGTTTATGGCTGTGGGGCCAACAGCCAGATTGGTATATTCATTGTTGGACAACAGCCAGTTCTTGTCATGTGACTAGACTTCTCTGTACTACATGGTCCCATTTCATGTACTGAGTGAGTTTTGGGCAGCTTTGACCAGGACTATACCACTGAATAGAGTAGGGCATTGCTCTATCCCCAGTCTTGATCAGTACGTAGCCTTGCTTTGGCTGGAAGGGTGGCCGTGGTGTTTGTGATGTGCAAATGATGCGGGTAGTCCAGCAGCCACACATACCATGTGGTGGCATATGGAGAGCCAGAGCAACAACTCCATTAGTTGGTCATGTCAAATGGATGGGAAGCAAAGTTTGAAACTTCAGAAACTTTTTTTAAAGGGCACAGCCTTCAGCCAGTCAAGTGAATTTCTCCGTTTACACGAAACCAGTGGAGTCTCAGTTGTTCTTCCTGTTCTTCTATGGCTGGGAGCCCATTGAGAACTGCTGGCACATCTGATTGACGTTGCATGGCGTGAGAATGTGGTCATGTACTTGCTCAAGGGTCCAGTGCTAAATTTAGGCACTTGACAGTGTAAGTGGGTGATGAGGCTTGACATGAACAGTAGCAAAGCACCGTGTCCCTGTGTCCCCGGCAGTATGGGCTATGGCTAGTACTAGTAGTAGTAGAGGATCGCCATCCCTGGCTGCATCAGCTTTGTGCAGTCAGGGCTAGGGAAAGAGAAAGAGAGAGGAGGGAGGGGGGGGGGGGTGGAGCAGGGATGTAAAAGGTACATTGTACTTCTTCAAAGTACATGGATGTCTGAGTGGGTGTTGGTGGCTCTCATGCCAGTGGCCCGCATTGTTTCCTCTGAACAGTACAATGGAAATCTACTTTGTTGCCACTACAGTGCCGACTTAGTGCTCACAAAATACAGAGCAGTTGGTGAGCAAATCACTACTGTACATGCACATGTACTTAATTAGTTGAGCACCCATGTTTGATGAGATGTGCTGGACTCCATCACCTCTCCTGGTTTACTGTCCTATCATGGTGTTACTTTTGGCAGTGTGCAAGAGTACAAGAGGCCATATATACGTATATTTTGGAAAAAAGGGAGAAAAATTCCCTTCTGTGCTTGTGATACTTGCACAGTATACGTGTGGCTAGTTCCTTGCCAGCACAAGATACCTGCTTTTAGGACATATGGCGAGTGATAGCAGGCCAGACAGCATCGTTTGAGAGGCATTACTCAGCAGTAGAGGGAAACAATGAGAATCACACCAGCCTGAGTTGCCATGCTTACTTAGGCAGCATCATGTGTCACAGTTCAGTCAGCCACCACCTGATGTACTTTGAAGTACTGTACTTACTAGTACAGTACTTCTTCATGTATCGGGACTGGAGTCATGTAGGGGTACTAGTAGTGTCCTGCCAGTGCACATGTTCATGCATGCACACACACTGTCACAAGAATGGGGCCATCTACTGTGTATTGTGTATTGTGTAGTGTGTGCTCTGGGTATAGCTTGTGCACGTACATGATACAGGAGTGCACTCTGGTACTGTTGTTGTGGTTTGCTGCCTGTGCAAACAAAAGACCTGCTCTTGACTAGGGCAATGGGGGGAAAGGGGCTCTTGAGTACTCACACAGTCCACATCATCAATAGATCGTGTTCTAACATGTAACACCATCATTCTGTCCTGTTTGAGCTCTGTAAGCACCTCCAGCCACGCAGTGCACCTGCGCACAGAACACCAAAAAGAGGAAGTAGACGTTTCCCCGACTGGGACAAATTCAACATCAATGTTGTGTATAGATAGGGAGACGGGAATGGTATGGTATGGGTTTCGAGTCGTTTTCGACTTTACTTCATCAAGTGAACAGGCCTGGATGCCTTCTCACTACCCCATTGGCCTGGCTCATACAATGCAACTCTAGACTGAATGGCTGATAATACAGTCGTGATGCTACATGAAAACTGCACAAAGGCACGGAACCATTGGTTACAGCGAATCGGACGCCTGTAACTGCACCCTGTATCTCACAAAGGAACCTTAATTAACGACAGATCGTAGTGCTCAATACCTATAGCAGAGCGTGATGAAAAGCTCACAAAAGGTCCAGTGAATTATAACGTTCAGTCTCTACTCCAGTTTAATGCTTAGTGAAGAAATCATCAGGAGGCAAATGTTCATACAATGGGAAACTATATTTACACAAATAACTCGTTGCAGAATGAAGTAAGTGTCTGCTCCGAACGTCCGAGCTCGCGCTTCCTGCCGACCGACTTGACACCTGACTGACTCACGACTGCGCCTGGAGCACACGAGCCCAGTCAGTCGGCAGGAAGTGCGAGCTTCGACGTTTGGAACGAACACTTTCTTCACAAATTGTCGCCGATGTTACAATATCTTATTTCGTTGTAGAATGCCAGATGAAATAGCTTTTCTCCGATCCTACCAAATGTGTCTCTGTATACACCAGACACAGTGCAGGTCAGCAAAGTGAAATCTGAACTAAAGTGCATATCTGCACGGAGCTCCGGACTTGCACGGCCGTTGACAGCTCCGTCAAGTGATACAAGCCAGTGCTGCTGGAGGTACACACGTACATTTACTGTGATATCATCGGAACTGGTCGAGGTCGCCAGTTTTGTACTGTGGCTCGGATTTCAGTCAGCGCAACTGATCATGTCCAATTCATAAGACTAGTCAGCCGCAGCTAGCTAGTTGGCAGCGTGAGGTAACCGTGTTTTCCGGTGTAGAAACTGCGCTTTATTAACACCAGCAATTCACCCAAAATGTCGGTGCAGCTTATACTACGATACTTAAATTACCGTATTTCCCCGTTAGTTATTTCTCCCCAATGACTTAGTACCCCATCACTCCGAAAGACAGTTCCCCCCCCCCCCCCCCCCCCCGAAAGATAGTAAGTTCGTACCCGTCCTACATGTACAGACACCGTACAGTACATACTGAGTACATCATATGCACGGACACTAGAGTTGCGCAGGCTTCCCACTGCGTGTCATTTACCCCCGATAAAAAGTACTCCCCGAAAGATAGTACCACCCCCGAAAGTTAGTACTAATGTGGCTGCTAAGTTCGAAAGTTAGTACGTACTAACTTATGGGGAAATACGGTAATGGTGATAAAGAGGGTAGATGCCTGTACTTCGTGAGAAAAATCTGGGTGCGGCTTATATTCCGGAGAATTTGGTGAACCTTCTCCAAAGTGTGGGTTTCACGGTTAGAATGTTATTCACAGCAGTTTGGTGTGTTCTCGAATATGCTTTCTTGTGTCCTGCCACAGTCCGCGAAGCCACGTAGCGGCGTGCTGTGCTTTCTCATCAATGAAGTGCGTCCAACCACCTCGCTGGAGCTGCCCGACTGCAAGCACAGCTTTGTCGTGAAGGTAGGTACAGTAGATGGCAATGGATACGTGCAAACCGGTTCATCATCATCATCATCATCATCATCATCATCATCTGCGTTGCTGAAAAAAATAATAAAAGTAAAATTTTAAAAATAATAAACGGCATTATGCAGCTGTGTAAGCAGTAGATGCACAGTGCGACTGCCAGGCATCTCTGTCAGATACAAACCGGTTACATGCAGCAAAAGACCATGAATGTGTGCCTCCCATTTGTTGTCCCCTTGCCAAAGCAGTGTGTGTCTGTCATGTATCTGGTGGCAGGCAGATGGTCTTGCCACACAAACTTGAATCTCTCGTAGATTTACTGGCCGGTTGAGTCCCGGCTGTGATTATCTTAAAGAGACTTGTTGGGCAGCTGCAGCCTTGCAGTCCTTCCCCATGTGCGTGGTTGGAGGCACGGTGATGTACATGTACAGTGATGGACTTACAATCCAACCCCTGGATCTCAGCGCTGCACACTTTCCTGAGTTTGATTCTGCACGGTCTTGCTGACTGAAATCCAGTCGCGTCACTCAAGTTTGCGCCTTGCACCATTTCGCAGCCCACTGTTCGCAGGTCTAGCACTGCGCATCGTGTATTTGAGTGCCACGACTGGATTTCATTGAGCAGCACTGCACATGGCACCATTGCATACACTCATGTACAGTGGTTTCAGGTGACATCCAACCGCTGGATCTCGGCACTACAAGCTTTCCGGAGCTGGAAATTGCACGGGGCCACTGCACAGAGCATACACGCACAATGTTGTCCCATGTACCATCCAACTCTGGATCTAAGCTTTGCAAGCCTTCAAGGGTTGGATTCTATTGGATGTACAGATATTAAACGGGTGCCAACAATCTGTGCTCTTTACATGCTGAAGGTTGCTTTGTACGAGTTCACGTTCGACCGGTCACATAACTGCATTGCTCCATGTTGCCTGTCTCGTCGTTCTGTGCAGGGCATCAATGGCATGGAGTACGTGCTCGACTGCAGCAGTCACGACGAGATGATCTCCTGGGTGGAGACGATACGCACCTGCTCGCGCTTTGATGCCGACAACAGGTAGGAGAATGGTACTGTAGGGGCAAACTGGGCCCAGATCCGGGACAGGGGGGGGGGGGGGGGGGCAGAGAAGGGGGCTGAGCAGGGGAGGGAATTGCTACGGTTCCTACTGCCATTGATATGTTTTTTCAGGGACTCGCCAAATTAGACCAACTAGAGAGTCGCCAAATCTTTGCGCAACAAAAATCTTACCATTTGCACAGGAGCCCAATGTTTGCACTTTGCAGGGAAATGCATTTCTTACCGCCACCTCTAATGTAGAGCGTATTGTGAGTGCACATGTTACACTTTGGCCGGCCCATACTCCCTACATAGCATGCAAGTATGTGCTCATTGAAATGGCATCAGGGAAACATGGATGCAACGAATGGGGTTTTCGGGTACAGTCAGACCTCGCCTAACCGCACACATCCGTTTTCCACAAAAATATCCGGATAGACAAGGGAACCGGATAACCGAACGCACATACTGTATGTATGCATGACATATGCTGTAAATCGGTAACCAACGATTTTCTTCCGGATGGCGAGGGATCCGGATAAAAGAGGACTGGATAAGCGAGGTCTGACTGTATTTGACCACTTGGTGGTGGGTCTGATCTACTAACCTGCCACCACTTGAAGAACTGTATCTGCGCCTTGATCCTTGACGGCGGTGGCGTCCCCAAGGATGCGGAAAACTTGATCTTTGGGTCTCACTGCAGACCGTGATTTTTTCAGAATTCTTGAAATGGTTTCGATGGAGTGGAATCACCAGCACAGGTTTTATCACTCCATACAGAGCCTACATGATGATGTCATGATGATGTCATTTGCACAGTATCTACACAATGTCGTGTGGCTTGCCAAGAATGGATCAGGGCCGCGCAGCTATGTTAAAAGTGTCTTGTTCATTCTTGTTCTCTCTATGCTCTCTTCCAGGTCAAGATGCAGCGTGATTCCAGACCTTCCAGGTAAGAAGAGACAAAGAAAGAAAGTGAAAAAGGAAAGAATAAAAAATTGGGATTCACTGGCCAGAAAAAGCCACTTCTGGTATAGGCCAGGATAAAGTTTGTGGCATTCAATTCATCACTCTCGGAAGCCGTTGATTGGTGCAATCATAGTACAGTTGTCCCTCTATAATCCGGCACCTTTTGCAACGGCATTTTCTGCTGGATAAACAAGGGTGCTGGATTATCAAATTCTGCCCTCCAACCCGGCCCACATGTTAACATATGAGCCGCCATTAATCATGTGTGTGACCAGGACCGAGCCGTGTGACTAGAGGTACCGAGTCACATGACCGAGGGACCAAGTCATGCGACCAGGGGGGAGCACTTCATGTGACCAAGTGCTACAAGTACCACCCGCTATGATCAGCGCCCAAGTTTTCCCATTCTGTGCGCCCTCCTCTGCTTTCCAGTAGTTGAAGCGGACTATGACGAGGCCGAGGGAGTATCACCAACGGAGGCACATGGACTGAGTCTCGCATCCCTACGTCGTCACTCCATAGCCTCGCCGGCTCGTCTCTCCCTGCACTCGGGTAGCGCCAGTGGCAGCAGCAGTTCTGCATCGCGTAAGAGCAGCTGTAGCCACTCGGGTTCGTTAGGCGCTCGCGGCTCTGCAGCTCGCCTTTCGACAGCCAGCCTGCCTGCAATACGCACGTCGTCGCATCCGTCTGCTCGCGCACCCACGCTGCTCAGCCAGGTCTCTACAAAGTCACAGGGCCGGGTAAGTATGGTGTGTGTGTGTGTGTGTGTGTGTGTGTGTGTGTGTGTGTGTGTCCACGTGTGTCTGTCTGTGTACACATGAGCATGTGTGCTTGGTAGGGCAGGGCTGGGCAGGGCTGGATTCCTTTTGCCCAAAGTATTGTTGGCCTTCAAGAAGATTACCTTGGTTTGTACCAGGAATTTTTGTTCACAAAATGCAGTCCTTTAGAAATACCATCAACGTCACCCAGTGCTTGTCAGTCACACAAAATTCATACACACCGGCCATAGCTTCATCTAAGTTACACTTGTGCCAATTCACGGCCCAATAGGGCTTGAACGTCACAGCATAGCAACAATTTCAAAAATTCAAAAACTGGATCCACTTGGATCCAGTTTTTGTATGGATCCAAGCACATTTCAAGCGGTCTTACTCACAGCAAGTTGATGTAGCCAGTGAAACTGACGGATTTGGCTACTGGGGGCGGGGTGACAACTGGTGGCGAAGTAAACGACATGAGTGGGTTGCTATGCACCCACATACTTCGGCAATAACAAAGTCACACCTTAGTGGATCCAAAATAGAAATCTGATGTCAACTTGCTACTCCCTGGCCGTTTTTGACGTCATCACTTTCAAGCCCTATTCCCAGGAAAAATCCGTCAATTCGTAACCAAAAACAGTCATTTACAAAAATTATAAATTCACCACTACCGCCCGTGTGGCTGTAGTTCTGCCGTGTGAATGTAATCTAGACGTGCGGGATGATGTCCTGATTCACTACGCTGCCCTGCAGGAACAACACCTGCCATGCCAGCCCTCTATGGACTCTCTCCTCGACGACGGAGCCTTTCTGCAGTCGCCCGAAGAAGAAGGCCAGCAGCCGCGCTACGTCGAGGAAGACCACCAGCGGAGGCAGCACTCACGTTACAACTCAACGGGGCACCAGATCGGCATGGAAGTGCAGCCCTGGTTTCACGGTCCGCTTACACGCCAGCAGGCGGCAGTGCTCGTCTGTCACGGCGGCCCGATGTCCCACGGTACGTTCCTGGTGCGGGAGAGCGAGTCGCGAGAAGGAACGATGGTGCTGACGTTCAACTGCGACGGGAAGGCCAAGGTATGTGTTTGTTTTTGGATTTGTCTTGCGTGTCGTTGTCAAGTGCAGTGCTGCTCAATGAAATCCAATCACGAGTAAAGTATGCGGCGGGCATTGTGCAGCCCTAAAAACGTCCTTCCTCGGTAGTAGATAATCTCTGGGCCATCAAAAAAAAAGTATCACAAGACTTATCTTGTAAAAATAATAAAAAATTATCGCGTCCGTTCCCGAAGGGAACTCATGACAGCCGCTAACACCCGGTAAACCCTAGGGTTTAGGGTTTACTTATCTTGTAACAGTCAACTAAAGAATAAGAAGCACAGATACGTACTTGCATCTACATGGGCACCCTCAATGCAACATAATTTATCGCCACTTTAACTCGCTATAAGGTAATTGAAAATCTCCATCACGGCTGTTCCTGACATCCAAAAGATCGGACATATCTACGGATATATAGAATATGCTGCATCTTATTGCTTTATCAGGTGCGTGTGTTTCACCTTGGTCGTGCTTGGACAAAAGTATCTTATACTGAGAGTTTGGCACTCCAGGGACTTGGATAAAAGGTGGGGAAAAGGAATTTTATGTACCAATGAAATATCTGGTAACCGAACCTGGAAACAGCTGCATAGACCACGTTTCGCCAGGGGATTTCAGAATTCTATTTACTAACGGGGTTTATGTCCAAATCGGTCTCCTTATAGCGAGGACCTGTACCTGCAGAGACTTAACCGTGTACTGGTGCAAAGCGCTAACCAGTTACCTGACTGCACAATCGGATTTAGTTGAGCAGGACTGTAGCAAGTTGATAATTATGTACGTGTGTACATGGACGCCATGTGAACACTGGAACCGACACGGACGAGATTATGTGGCCCATAGGTGCAGGGTTTGCATGCATGTGCGTGTGTGTGTGTGTGTGTGTGTGTGTGTGTGCGTGTGTGTGTGTGTGTGCATGTGCTAAAAGGTGGTCTGTGCTATCTGGAACACCTCTAGGTCATGCCGTGCTGAATTTCAACATCCTACCCGACAAAGAAATGTGTTGATTCATAACCAACGTGTACAATCTGATTCTCTCTGTTCATTCAGTCTGCATCTGATCGTGGATCATGTGGACGGTGACGGTATTTTGAACTATTTTTGAAGTATCTTCTCCTGTCTGTCTGCCTGTGTGTGCTCCCCCGTACAGCACCTCAGGATGAGTGTACAAGCGGACAAGACTGTCAAAGTGCAACAATGGCTTTTCGATAACATCTTCCATGCCATCGACTACTTCAAGGTGAGGAACTGCCCCCCCCCCCCCCCCACCCTCTCCTCTGACATTCCCATGCATCCTCGGGGCCGTTTGCATGCCTCATTGGGGGCGCCAAGCCTCTCAAACAGCAGGTCCGTAGGAACAGGTCCAGTCGCTCAGGTCAACACCGGACCAACGTGTTGGCTGCCAACGTGCGTTTACTCTGAGGATCGAGGTTATCTGCACTCGCTAGCTATAGCATACACAAAGATTGAAAGGCGTGTATGGCCGGACGAATCAAAAAACTGCTTCCGGTGGTCCTAATTAAAAAAAAAAATCACGGTTCGCGTGAGACTCGGCCAAAGGCCCAGTTTTCCGCATCCGCAGGAACGCCACCACCCTCTTGGATCAAGGCGCAGATGCAGCTCCTAAACGGTGGGAGGTGAGTAGATCAGACCCACCACAAAGTGGTCAAAGACCGAAATCCCATTCACTGCATCCATGTTTCCCTCGTGCCAGGCCACGAGTTCCCAATTAACTGTGGGTCGCAGCACGGCTGGAAAAAATCCTTCCGCTTCCAAGCAGGACTTGAACCTGGTACCCTCTGTTTCTCAATCATGGTCTTAGACCATCCCACTATGCCTGCCTGGTGGTCCTAAACAGACAGGATATTTCCTGGTGTTTAGATGTATTTCAAATATATCTCTCTCCCTCGGCGCTCCGAATGGTAGTCTGCAGTTGGTCAGGTGTCTTTCCAGCAGGAAATGTGATCTGTACAACGTTGGGGAGTAGTTAGCTTCTTCCAACTCCCAGTCTCCCGAACAATTTTGAAAGCCTCCCTATGCGTTCATAATAATTATGCTGATCTCGCTTGTGCTGTGTGTGTGTGTGTATGTGTGTGTGTGTGCGTGTGTGTGTGTGCGCGCGTGTTTGTGCATGCATGTGTGTGTTTACGTGTGTGTGCGTGCGTGTGAACGTGTTATCATGCGGGTCGCTAATCCACAGGTTCACCCTGTTCCACTGGAGAGCAGCACGGACAAGGAGGTGTGCCTTCTGAACTACGTGCTGGCTACGACCAGCCACCGGGAGTGCAGCATTCTTGAGGAGGACGACCCGCAGCAACCGTACTGCAATGGAAGGAGCGACACAGCTACTGCTGCTGCTAGCACTGACAACAATAACGACGGTGTGCAAACGCAGCAAGTAGTCGCCTTGCCGCCAGAAGACGACTACTGTAGCAAGGGAACTCTCAACACCGCATCCGGCACCCCGTCAACCTCATCCCACGTCTCGACTACCCCTGTGAAGCCACCGACATGTCTCAACTCCCTGAAGAAGGGCGACATCCAGCAGCATTCAGCTACGGAGAACACTGTGCAGCTTCCGCCGGAAAAGGACCAGAAGTCCTTCTCACCCGCCTCATCAACGTCCGGAACGCTACGTGGTGCTCCCGAAGCAGGACGACCCAGAACCTACTTCATCGACGGAACCGGGTTTCACGCCCGCAACAGCTACGTAGTCGCAAACTGAAACTGAACTACAACGACGAGTCTGGTCAAGATAGCGGAACATATGCCAAGCAGTGCAGAGGTTCTAGCAATAGGACGCACTGTGCAGCAGCTTGTCAGTACGAATTTATGAATTTATTGTTTCATTTGTCAAAATGTAGTTCTCTGGCATTGGGCCCTAAAAAATTGCCTTGAGCAGCAAACACCTTTCCTATAGACTATTTTTTATAACTACAATCGACTAAGCGCTGACTTTTAACTAATGTTCTTGCTGTGTTGTTTAAAAGGCACTTGTGAATTAGTTCTTTTAAAAGTAAATTGTTGCAACTACGTCACAGTGCATGATGTAATAATTATTTTGTTTTACTGTTGTAGAGAATTTTTGAGGTATCCTCTACGTTGTGCACCTGTGCATTTGAGAGAAAATTATTATTAGTAAGCCAAAATATCTACTACTAACCATGCCATTCTATCTTAACATCAAGTGTGCCTGTGTATGTGATATTGCGGGCCTTCTTCGCTCGACAGCAGAACAAGTGGTAAAAAAAATTCCGCTCACAGCAGCTGAAGAATGAAACGGACGATGCTCTTTTTGTGAAGCTCTTTACGATTCTTTTAAGAAACCTTCGCAACACATTTACCTGCCTCGGCTAATTAACCAGAGATTTAGAATACTGCGGAAGGGGAAGCCCCCGAAGGGAACGGTTCCATAGACTGTCGGTCTCAAAAGGTAATGCATTCAATACACCACAGATAAAAACAAAATCACTGTGAAAATAAATCTTGGTCGGTTCCATGTGAATACGGTCGTGCATCGGTTGTCTGAATTCACTGGTCACAAGGCAACCTCCAAAATGACGATCATCTGCATCTATCCCAGCTGACCGTACAACCATGTACGCAATTCAGTTCATATTGCACGCACATATATACGAGAGAAGTAGTGGTGCACAAACGCCAACTGAGCAGACAGACCAAGGCCAGTGATGCTCCTAGCATGCAGCACAGACACCGTGAGATGAGCATAGTTAAACGTTCAACACTGCGGCCTCACACAGAAAGCTGAATAGCAGCATCGGAGTTGACCGACTGCTGAGTTCATAGGTGATGGATACCACTGAGGGGCCCCTAGCCCTACTTCTGCTAGAAATCAGTCTAGCCAAGAGTCACAGTTTGATAATCGTTTGCTGGCCTGGACTGTCAATGTACTACACACAACATCGTACTGTACGCTGACATCAAATAGATAGATCCACACTTACCTCAAGGTGTGTATACTCCACTGTAGCCACTTCATCTCTCACACAATCGAGAGTTGTAGCCGAGCGACTGCGTCGGGTAGTGGTGCACGGTTGCGTGAGAAATTCACACTTACCCGATACACTACTGCAGATGATAGCAGACTTAACATCCGGCTAGCTATACCTCATCACTGGCTTGCTTGGCTGGGCTGGCGATGCAACCATCAGCCGAATCGAGTGACTCATCGGAGACATCCAGGGCAAGAAGCAAGTCTTGGCTGAGAAGTGATAAGCGCAGCAAGTCTGGCGTTAGGTTTTCGTCCCTGCTAGCATCCCGGTGTGCTAGTGCTTGCGAAGTACGAGCCCTAGAGAGCTGAGTCGTCAGCTCACCGAGGTCACGTTTGCAACCATCGCCGACGGAGGTCAGGGTCTCTTGGAGTACTTCGGCCGTTGCCTTGAGCGTTGCCATGGAGAGGACTTGAACAGCGCAGTCGAGATGGACGTCGTGCTCGGCTTTCCGCCGTGCACACTCCACGCGGACCGACTGCTCGCACTCGTTCATGCTCCTCGCCGCCCATTCGTCCAGTTGTGCTCGTTCACGCTGCACGGCCTGGCTCACCACCTCTTCCTCGTGCTCACGTAGCATCTGCTTGAAATCTGCTTTCTTCTTGGTGATTGTCTCGTCGAGTTCATCCCAGGCGAGTTCAAAATCCAGTTTCTCCAGGTCTTGACGAGCCTGTATATCCGCCATGCCTGCAGCGAGCTGTGCCTGCTGCTGGGCATCCAGCGTGGCTTGGAGGCGCTGCCGGAAGACGTTGAAGCACTTTCGGGCACGTCGGCCAAGCTCTGCGGCGTGCGTCTGGCTGAGCTTTTCCACCTCGCACTGGTAGCGCGCTTCCACTGCCTTGCCAAAGCCGGCTCCCGTGCGCTGCACGCGTTCGTCGTGCCGTGCCTGCTGCGCGTCGATGCTGTCGCGTGCGTAGTATACGCGTCGAAACTCCTGCACGCGCGGCGAGCCACTGTAGTGATGACGCAGCTCCTCCGACACGTAGTTCGCCGCTGCCATCGCCGCAATTCTGTTCGGTGGCCGTTGCGATCCTGGTGGCTGGTTTGGCTGTCTTGGCGACGTGGCGTTCGATCGCGCGGTTGGCTCCGGCAACTTTGGCCTTCCACTGTGTGCTGCTGGTGGTGGTGTTGTTGCTCGGGGGCGTTGCGTTTCGGCTGTTGTCTTGGCGCGGTCAGGTCGAGCTCCCTTTCTGGTGATTCGAATCCAGTCCATGTCGGTGATGAACAGCCTATCTCGGTGCAAGTCGGCTAGCACAGGTTTGGACGTGACCACGCGCACTCTACGCTGTCCCGCGTGTTGACCACCACCGTCAGCGCCAGCTGCCGCAGTATTCCAGTCGTTACCCCGGGTGGTGTTGGTCGATTGCGCTTGCGTTGCGCCGCACCGACCAGAATCGCTGACCGAAGGCGAAACTCCGGAGTGTGTCTGTCCACGTGCATCAGGCGCGCATTCCGCCATCGGTTGTGGATTTCTCCGTCGGGTGTGATGCGCTACAGGAGGCAGCCGCAGCAAGTTGTGGAATACATTCCTTTGCCGCTCGCTCTCACTCGCCGGCATGGGGAAGTAGCTGGTGATTTCCTTCGCTGCACCGCGGGCTATCCTTTGGCTGACTCTGTACGGATGTGTTGCTTTAGGAGCTGTTCGCGGCGGCTGTGGAGCTGCTTTCGGTGTTGATCGTTTGGGTCTTTGCGGTGGCAACGATGTGCAGGTCTTAGACTGCGAGGCTGGCCCTCTGCGATGCTGAACCTGTTCTCTGCCTTGCCTGTTGACAGAGGCTGTGTATCCAGATTTAGAAGTGCGAGCTGCTGTAGCCCGCTTCCCAGGTACTGTGCCAGTCCGTCTGCCCAAAGCACAATTCCTACACACGCCCATCGGTATTGGCTTCCATGGCCGGCCCACGCTGAGCTGCGTGATGTGATACACGCCGCAGTGATCCACGATCCAGTCCTCCAGGTTCAGCAGATGCTCGTCGTCGTTGTCGGTATCCGGAATGACGAACTGAGCGTAGTTTCTCGTCACAGCCTTCACGAAGCGCTCGCGGGTGCGCACTCTCGTTAGGTTGACGAACTGGCGCTTTCGCTCGCCGCCGTCGACGTACTCCGCTTCGTCGTAATAGTGCCGAGTATCGCACGCGGGGACGAACAACACGGGCGTGTAATCCCTCGGTAGCGCGCAGATGCTGACGAGCGCCAGTGTGCGCTCTTTTCGGGCGGCGGGCGATAACCTGGATGGCGAGGGCCGCGGGCCAGCCGATCGCCACGGGCGAGTATTGAACTCTCTCTTCTTGAAATCGAGATATTTTTCGCCTGCCTTTTCGAAGAAGTTCGGGTCGGTCAGCAATGTGTCTTCGAGAGTGTTGAGCGTTTCGGTCGGCCCGACTACCCGTGCTACGCCAAGGCTCTGGAACCTCACTGCCAGCGGAGGAGTCGGGATGTAATCATCCCTCAGGAACTCTGGCGGATAATCTGGAATGGGTATTCGCATCGCCGGTGGTAGAGGCATCCTCACGCTCGCAGGACTAAACCAACTCTACTCTGTCTGCGGACAAGAATTTAAAAAAAGGAAACTCGCAAATGTCGTATGAGTATGATATTGACAGCCAGGCCAGGCGTCGTGGAAGTAGAACTCCCTTGGGCCCTGCTGAAAGAGAAAGAGACTGAATGAGAAGCGACTTTGCTAGTCGACTCAGCGTTTGAGTGCTTGATAATGAACACGCCAATGGTTTCTTGTCTATTGTTTAGAAAGTTCTCGGCGACTGGTGTTCAAGACCGCGTTACTGGACCTGACCTGCCCTGCACCATTGAGCGCCGGCAAGAAAACGAAGAAGTCAGAAACACAACAAGAGACTTGAAGGGACTCGGCAAGCAAACACCAAACTGCTCGCCCAACAAAATAATTCGTGACGATAGCGCCGCGCTAGCCGCGCTGCGGAAATGCTACCCATGGGGCGGGCCGCGGGGTCAAACAATCCATGTGCATCCATGATCCAGTGTGTACGATGCCGATGGCTATGACACGAATTCGAACCACATGTCCTACTGTCGTGGACATGGAAATCCGGTCACACGTCTAGCGGCCCCAGATGCAGAGCGCTGGCCATGCAGCCATGGATAAGCGGTACACACATACATTTTATGCACTGGTACATGGTCGCATCGGATCATCATGTGCACGCAGCGTTCTGTACACGAACTACCGAACTGGCAGCTCAAGAAATGAGTAACATGTACTCATTTCTTGAGCTGCCAGTTCGACAAGTAACAACGTTACGTGACTGTACTTCACATCGTTGAGTTGAGATAACCTGAGCTGGCCGTCTCCACCTGACTGGAGTGGAGTCTGGTCTTGGAGACGTGCCTCTTTGTTAGTGAACACAGCATCATGAGCATGCATGTCAACATGATGATTATTGTAATCCAGTGAAGTATCTGCTTGTTGAGATGATCGTGCAGCCTATTCCAACCGTCATCTCCTTATAATGAAAATAGAATCAGATTGTCTCTGCATGCCCAAAACTCGTGGCCATGCAGAGACGCACAGAATGTACATGTAGGACTCGTAACGTATAGTATGAAAACCACTGAATAGTGGATAGTGGAGAGCTAGCGAGTAGCATGGAGGAAGCGAGGTCACTCACCACCATTACTGCGTGCACATTCTATTAATTTTTGTTATAACGTTCCACTACATAAGTCTCTATTCGAACATACCGGTACCCGATTACAATACAACTTGATGAAACCGTCATACATGTTCACACGTAGATGTCATGTACGCGTGTTACAGAACTTCAGACTACATCGTGCACGTAACCGTAAGTCCTTACAGTACAGTGTACTAACTAGTGGTAGTGACTAGTGTGATCGTGGTCTGCTGTCTGCTGGCGCTGGCGCTGGCAGCTATGATACCATACTGCACTGCTGTTGCTGCAGTTCCAGGGAAAACGCTCACAACTGTTACTTCAACTGTAGCCGTTTGTTATTGTCACTGTCTTGTCAAGAACAGTGCTGCTCAATGAAATCCAGTCCAGTTTCTCAACAACGCGCTGGGCGCTGCACCACCCTAGACCCGCGCGCGAGGCTGCGAACACTGGGCTGCGAAAAGGTGCACGGCGCCAACCTGACTCTCGGCGACTGGATTTCATTGAGTAGGACTGT